TGTTGATGAGATGTAAGCGTGACATTAAAAATGAGTAGCACAAAAATATTTCGTTTTAAATTGAATTTAAATGCCATTCAATACGCAATGAGAAATTAACTTTCGCTTGGTTTTGCACATAAAAGAAAAGGACTTAGGTTTTTTTCATACAGAGCTTGTTCGTACGTAACTAACGTACGAAAATTAAATGGTAGCTGGCTTTTTTTTCGCACGTAGACAGTGAATGGCCATTTTGCTCAGTAATCCCAGCCAGAATTTGGCTATTTTTTAAAAATTGCGTTAAAGTTTTAAATTTTTGTTTAGAACTGAAATAAATTAACTTTTAGTCAATCCCCACGCTAAAAACATTAACAGAATTGATTGTGTATATCTGAAATAGACACGACCGAAGCACAAAATAGTGCCAATATGCCGACGTCAAATCTAGAGTTGTAGTAGAAATGGTTCCACTACTGATGTCTTCCGCCTTACTCCAGCCACAGTAGTGGCTCGTCCTACAAAGTTCCTTTGCGCAAGTTTTTTAGTGAAATCACTACAAAAAGATTACTGGCCTATAGCTCCCTTAATTTACACATAAACTGACCCAAAACAATACTGCACCTAGCTTAACATATAATAAATCAATTTCTATTGAAATAAAGGTGAAGCCTTACCGCATAATTATATGATTTGATGAAACCCAAATGCTACGCGAAATTTCAACTGGCTGGTGTCACGGCGGCTTGTGTAATACGTCATTACAAGAAATATCGCTATGCAAATGTAGAACGCAAAACCACAAAGAAAAACTGTTCGGTAACTATTTTAGTGGTCCAGTCTTCACTATTTGTCATAGAATTACTTATTCCAATACAAACTGTAATGATATGTGTTGACAATTGTGCGTTTGAACCTATTTGAACTTGCGTAAGGATTCTTAGACTGTATCAATTGTAACGTTAAACACACAGTTTAACGTTACAAGTATAGTAACTAGAGTTGTAGATGAAGTTATTTTTGTGAAAAATCATTGGAAGAAGCGATAAGACGTTCTGTACGGATTATACAGTCCTAAAGGCTGCAAGAAGGCTATTGTTTACAATGTAACATTGTGTCTTGTAATGTTGATAATGATCATAATGATGGTGTTTACATTTGTTTGTTGATGTGACCTCATGACCTGTGACGTTTAGATAACGTCATATGGATATCATGGCTATTCACTGTGTCAGAAACACTTCTCTGCAGGTAGGGTGAGTCTGTCGTTCAGATTGAGAGCTTGTTATAACAAATGCAATTATATATTATCACACCCCGGTGTTACGGCCTACTGAAATATCGAATTGTCCTCATAGCACACTGCATGGCGTATGTCCGTCTTCATTAGCCGAGTAAAACGTTAAACCTCATTTTATTTCTTAAAGATGTTGTTAGAACTTTACTATACGTGTAAATACAAATATTATTAAAACGAAAAAGATTGCTTCCGGAGTTATCGTTCCGAGACTCGGGTTAAAAGTTATCACACTAAGACTTTAATTGATCCATGGCAGATGCCAGAGATTAACTTAAAGAAAATTCAGCGTAGACAGGATTACTCTATTGATTACACTTGATTGTCCAATTATATGTAGATTAGGAACCTGAAGCGTACTAACTGGAAGTACATGAATGATTGTCTACAGACATGGAATTGATGTGTCTACATGGAATTGCGAGAAAACATCTAATATCGTTATTGTCACAGACAAGACACATGGCGCACAAGGTAACTGAATTTGAATCGTGAATAAACAACTCATTTAATAAGTGTATTGAATCTTAAGAGAAAATAAGTGGCTTTTTACGAGATTGGCTTAAAAGTTCTAAGCCTGAAATGGATGGATCATTTGGATTGAAACATACTTTTGCCATCAAGAAGTACAATTGAATGAATCATAGACATAATAACTGCAACTGTAATGTCATTATTGTCTTATCAGACCATCTTGCGAACATACCCATTGAAAACACCAGAAATGGACAAACTGGCTTAATGATAGGCATCAAGTACATGCCGACATGGTCTCCACTTTAGGCGATGATGTCCCTTCCTTTTCCGCAAAGAGAGCCTTGACGATGATCCGCGTCCTGGAAAGCATCAACAACAACCATTCAAGAATACATTATCCGGGTACATGACATGGTGATGTTTGATCAACGATTGACCACTCGACCTATTGCCAGTGTTGTGAGCATCTGTAATGGGAGAGTTGAGCACATTATCGCCAACAAAACTTCCTGCAAGATGGGTGCCAAAGCATTTGACGGCGGATAGGAAACGTTTCAAATTCCTGACGCCCCGTGACAATCTGCGCCGTTTTGAAGCAAATTCTGATAATATTTTAGCCAGATTTGCGACCATGGATGAGACCTGTTTCCAAAAATGAAAAAGGAACTAGCCGGTTGCCATTTTCCTAGTAATTATGTCGTCATTTCAACTGTGAACTGAAGAAAATGTCTTCGTGGCTGACCGGCATCCAGACCTTGCAACACCGTTGGCAAAAGTGTGTACACCTCGAAGGGAACTGTGTAGAAAAATAAATGCAAACCATCTACTTTGTACAGGTCCTTCACAGATAGCCAGTCCTCGTATCTTACATTATCCTGATTCAAAACGTATTGATTCAGGTTGTCCGTTGATATAAGTCTGTTTGGCTATCTTTGACAGAAATGTGAAGAAGGACGCTCAAATTGATCTCTTTGATTTATGTCAAAATAAAGTGTTGAATTGTGTTCTTCTGATATATTATATCGATTAGTGCGCATTGTGCGGAAGTCAACAGTTTAAAATTTGGTTCTACCGACACTGGCACATAGCATCGGCTTTATCTCAACAATGGTTGTACCTACAGACTTTGAATTATCAACTAAGACAGATGGTCATCCCCCAAACTACACCAAAATATAACAGCCATTGATAAATATCGAAAATTTTGGAACCCAAATTTCAGTCAATTTCTGTTCTTAAATGTCTACTTAAACAGCGTATTATTGGTTTACCATTAAAGAACAAATTTATGACGGCTGATATGTGACCCAGTCTAGAAAGTACCACCATCCTGTTTTGTTTGATTTACAGTGGTTGCCTGTTTACATATAATTCAATTATGTTTTAAATTTTATTTTTTTTTATTTTTAAATGACTAAACAAGCTAGCTCTTATATAAAATTAATCGATTAATCGATAAAGGCTTTCATTGAACACACCATAATTTGATAATGGAAGCTTCACGTGGGCATTAGTTTCAATGTATCACTTAGTGATTTTACATGTACATTCCACAATGGTTAAGGTTATATAGTAAATTTATAGTCTATAATAACGATTTAAGTTCTATATAAATGATTCATGATATATTTTCTATTTGTTAAATGCTTTGGAGCACTATATAAATACAGTAATAATGATAATATAAATGTCACTATTATTTATAAAGATCGTTTGCGCTCCAATTAGCTTAAATAGCTTGTAATAGAAAAGTATAGCGAAAGCATGACCGTTCGGAGTAAACGAGAAGTGGTAACAGGTGTTCTATTTAGATGTGGGCATGCGAAACATTGATGTTATACTGTGAAAGAGATTGCGTTGCTGATCTCATTCTGTGCAGATTGTCGACATAATAACAATTTGTATTGTTATAGTGAATTACTTAGTGTAACAGATGTACAGTAGTATATTTTGATATTAACAGATTAGGTTACCATAATTCAATAACAATCCATTATGTCTATCTCACAACACAATGATAACTTCTATATTATTTGAGAGACAAGGGCTTAACGTATCTGAGAATGAAATGAAATGGAGTGGTTTTTGATGTTATGTCATTGAAATTGAGACGAACGTGTAATACTTATTTTATCGTTGGGAGTGAAACATAACAGAGGAGAATTTTACCCGAAAAGGCATGTCCGCCAAATTTTGATCAATTTCCAACTGTCGCAATGAAAAGAAATGAAATGGGGTTTAATGTCCTACTGTTCTGCTCCGACTGGGCTAATGAATGAGGGAAATTTTGCCCGGGCAGCGACACTATGGCCTATTTCTATATCGAATTCCAACTGCCAATGGATTTTTTACGTTTACGCCTATGTATACACGAGACATCGGCTTTCCTTGTCAGACCCTCCGTCCTGCACCACGTCGGAAAATCCCGATGAACATTCTAGGCCAATGCAGAAACCGAACACGCGACCTCAAAGCTAGCGAGCCAGCGTCTTACTGACTTAGCCACCGTGGCTCCCACGTCGAAATGAGAGAGGTGTCCTGTAGCATGTTAAATTCATGTTAAATGAAAATTTCGATGTCTGTTATCTGCTCATATACTGTTGTCTGTTGTGTCATGTTTTGTTGGGCAGATGGGTTGCAGTCTATATAATAACCGAACAGTGGTCGTATTCATTTCATGGCCCGTCTCCATCAGCCCAGTCGGAGCAGAACAGTAGGACGTTAAACCCCATTTCATTTCGTGGCGCATTAATTTCCTGTTTTACAATATACATTTGTATACTTGACCTTACATCACTGAACATACACACTAACAAATTACTACGCTTATCTAAGCACCATAGAAATTATGATATAAAGTGATGCGACGCAGTGCATATTTAACTAAGTATATACATCTGAAATAGGTTGTGGTGGTATTCGACAGAAACATTATTTCTGTTGATTTCCCGGTCAACAAATATCTCAAAACGTCACATTTTTAGTCTGTTTTGTCTTTGTTAGTTGAGAAAATTATCGACGTCTACAGATGTCGTAGTCTTGTTTCACTGTTTAGCTGCTGTGATTGATTTCACAGCTCAGCGCTGTATCAGAACCAAGAAACCGTTATAATACCTAAAATACAATAAAACAGCTATTTACATTTGAATAGAAATTTCATACTGATGACCTACAGTTTATAACAAAATCAATTTACCTGTTTCACGGTATATTTAAATACATATAACAGTCTCTATTGAGCAAATATGAGAGCTATATGATCAGAGACTGCAGTTGTCGAACACACGACGGTTCACGTAATGGCTTGTAGATTTTATTTTTGTTGTGCAATATTGTTATCGTTTATGTGGTGGGATTTAACCAATGCAGCTAATAGGGTTAAGAGAAAGTAAGTTTATGTTACTTATGTATAGGCCTACATGAATTTGATTTACTGAAATTGATGAAAATATTGCAAATCTGGATCATGGATTGTGGTTAAATAAAAATTCCTGCCAGACTACCTTTGGCTGTTTTCCCGTAACATATTTCGACCTGTGCTCGAGTTAGTTTTGAAGAAGTTGAGGGGTAGTATTTCTGGATGTAGCAACATAGAGCAATCGGGGGCTGGGCAAGGACGCAAAAGGTACAAATTACCACCGATATAATCTTCTTGGTGTATCATGCGGGCAACATAGGGGTAGGCCTATGCTTTAAAGAAAAACGACAGTTTTTTAATGCTAAATTGGGTGCAAATAAATAATAATAATCTGAGAACAATCTCATTATTTTAGTAATCATATTTGTATTTCAGGGCTGATTTTCTGAAGGCCTTACTCTATGATTATGATTACCAGATTCCGCCCAACTACGAATCAGGTAACATTTTCTTCTTTGCACTTTTACAGCACCAAATTATTTTATACGATTCGTGTACAATGGTAAAATGTTTATTTTTTCTTAAATATTGGATATTAGAAGGCCATCCTTCCCCGGTAAGATCATAACATCAATGTTGATTTTAACTGACAAATAATTCGTGTTTTTCGATGTCGAAGACTATGGATGATAATGATTTAGAGACTTAGCTACTCTAAATGATCGGCTAATATGCCTTTCCGGTGATTAGATGTTAAAAGTTAAATGCCGATAATTACAAGTCAAAATCCAACGTTAAACGTTTTTCTGGCTAATATGGTGGCTGAAAGCGTCCATTTAAAACGTCATGTTCCGGACGTAAAGCGGAAGTCAACGGCAAGTCAACACGACAAAACACGTGACGATCGATAACTTTTTCATTGCACTGGCTTGCCGGCGATACTCTACTTTCAAAACAAGTCGCCACTACGACAAAAGAAACTCGCCGATATCGTAAAATGAATGTTAAGATATTGCGCCTTTCATTTTTTGAAAGTTTGGATGCCCCATGCGCTCATTGACCTAATTTCTTATCCACCTATGTTTGTTTAGTCATATCCCTTGTCACGCTAAATCCATCCTTTGAATGTCAAATGTACGTAAAAGCATAAAGGAGAAATGACAAAGGCAACTGTTATGTTGATTGAAATGTCCCAGAGGAATTTTATGTGTGAAAAGCAGATAAGAAATGAACAACACTGGACAGTAAAACATTTGACATTCGACGCATTACATGCCATTTCTGACATATAAATTTATCATATCAAACATATTTAACAAGTAAACAACATTGTTTAAAGTCAACGCACTAGGACAATGACGTTGACCGTAGGCGTACGGGATGGACGATTGCGAGAGGCGAAGGAGCGGAAATTACCATATAGGGACGCCCAAGATAATTTGGAAAATTTGAGTTGTCCACTCTATGCCGACCTGAATTCCAACCATCCAATTAGACTATGCCAGCTGCATTCACAAATAACAAACAATGACCGAAAAATGTCAATTCAATTACAATTTCGTGGTATTCAATTAAAAAATAAAGTAAAATTAGCGTTTTATTAGATTTCGGGCAGTTTATTTTGCCATCTAGACGAAATAATTATTTTCTTTTTTCACTTTACCCATCTGCCGGAAAAAGACAAATTCCCCGAAAGTACCTGGTCCCCTGGCAGGTACGCTTTCAAGGGAAGGCTGGACACCCGCTCCTTTTGAGGACATTACATGATAAACATTAACGCCTTGACTTATACATTCTCATAATAGATCATCAATTCCTGTTGATAAAAATTAATTTTATTACTTTATGAAAACAGATGTTGCCTAACTCATAAATGGATGTAAACGCAATTATTAAAATACAGTCGATAAACATTGAATTGAATTATGAAGTTAATTTTTTATTCACTTAATTTGGTTATAAAAGATAAACTTGCACAATACTAACTAATGCTTAAGTGAGATCACGTATGGTCTTTAATAACTCAACGTCATTAAAAAGCCCCAAATAAAGTGGAAATAAAGTTCTGTTACTAAAGGAACGCACTTTTCCCAAATAGAGTGGAAATAAAGTTCTGTTACTAAAAGAACGCACTTGTCCCAAATAGAGTGGAAATAAAGTTATGTTACTAAAAGAACGCACTTGTCCCAAATAAAGTGGAAATAAAGTTCTGTAGGATTATTTTATCTGATATGCACACGGAAAATATGACCAAAATCCTCAGACGACAGATTTTTCAGAGAACATGCTTCACGTTTATTTAAATATTAATGATTACAATGGGTGCTGACATTCCATTTTAATTTTTCTCCAAACTCTTGTTGTTTCATAATATGCTATGCTGTATAAAGGCATACCTGTACTCCTATATCATGCGGAAATGGTGATCCATTTTAAAATTAGATGTCGATTTTAATATGTGCATGGTAAAATACATTAATTACAAATATTACAATAGGGGGTAGTATTGCATAAGGGATTAAGAGAAATTTTATTACAATTATTACATTTATTACAATAAGGGTTAAGTAAAATTATATTACAATTATTACATTTATTACAATAGGGGTTGTTATTGCAATAGGGGCTATAACATCGCTTACTTGGTCTCAGTAAAGGAGCCGGGGGGGGGGGGGCTCTACATACATTAAGTCCTCGTCGGACAAATCGCATAATTTATGGCTTCGGTGTTTACCAGGGGAGAGATCGGAAAAGTTCGTAATATGTTATTCTTGGAAAATCCCAGTGCTGAAGATTTGGCAATCTTGTTTTAGGCCGTGCTTTATAGAAGAGAATTGGAATCTCCCATTATTTCAGTAAGATATGTAGACCATTATTTCATTAAGCTATATATATTGTTGAGATTTAAAATGTTTATTGACTATCAATTGTTTTGTTATTATTTTAAAACTAAGTTATACATGTACTAAACAGCAAAAAAAAAAACCCAAAAAACAAAAAAAAAAACGTCAGTACGATTTCAAAATCAGAGAGGCACTTTAATCAAATCATTCTAAAAAACGACTTACTAAATGGATCAAAGCACTTTTTTGTGAACAAAATGTTGACGCATTAGTGATTAATTCATCACAATTCCAAGACATTACGAGAAGGTTTAGAGTCTGTACACTGTCTATACATCAGTATCTATCTGGTGTGTCCACCGCGAGTGTCAATAACAGCAGCGCAGCGTCTGTGCATGGAGTGGACCAGACGACTGATGAACGCCATTGGCACCTGGAACCCCACTCTCAGAAAAGCCTGGCGCAATCCATCGGCTATCTTTGGTCTCGGTACGATGTTATTAAGTCTCCTCTGAATTTCATCCCAAAAATGTTCAATCGGGTTTAAGTTCTGACTAAGGGCTGGTCAGTGCATAACGTTGACACTGTTCTGCTGTAGAAAGTCCCGAGTAACTCTGGCGGGGTGGGCATGGGACATTGTCATGCTGGAAAACGTTGTTTCGATGACGTGCGAAATGTGGTATGACGTGGGGTTTGATGTATCGCACTGCTGTGATACCGCCTCCTCTCCCTGGACCAAGATTTTGGAACCCCACAGGACCCACTCTCTGGTTCAGTCCGATTCCACCTCAAACCATTATGCTTGGACCTCCACATGAATCTGGCCACGTCGACGCCGTATTCTGGTCCTGCCATCTGCATTTGATACGCAATACCGACTCTCATCTGTGAACAGATCAGTTCTCCATTGCCTGTGTCGCCAGTTCTGGTGTTGTTGGGCAAACCGTAGATGTTCACGTCGATGGCGAGGGGTGAGGATCGGTCCACGACTGTGACACTACGGTGTGTCGTTAAATAGATGAATTATGAATTACTTCCACTTTGTGATACGGTCCGTGATACTAGGGTGACACTATCGTCTAGGGCTTTCTTTGACTTGACGCTGCGATCAATTGACTGTGGAACACACTTTTGACGTTAACTATGTTTTTATATCTTTATAACATCCATAATACAGGAAACTACACACACATCTATGACATTAAATATAAGCTAAATATAAGTTCTCTTTCCCCAGCTTGTGTTTACTAGATTACGATTAACATCATTCTCATTACCCCACCATTTCGTAGGACAAGTTTACTGACGGTACCCCTCAACGTCATATGGCTCTCCTACGACTTAACGGGATGGTCTAATCCAAGTGGTATCTAAATGATGTCCGAATGATGTTTGTTTCCCAGCCTCTCGGCCTAGGAGGCTGTGGGTATCAATGATATCTGAAGTGAAATGTAACTCGCTCGTTCTTATATAAAGATGATACGTGCATGAGTCAGTATTGAGCCCCGGGAAATTGACCAGGTAGTTCCTTTATCAGATTGGTCAGCTGCACAGATGCTACCCTGGATTTCAACACAGTGTACTTTTATGGGCACCTAGGAGGGCGGCTAACCACGTTTCTAACGTGAGGGATTACCATATTTGGATTATCAGACTATGATGTCATTGCCCGATTTTAAACTACCAGACTTATCCTTGTTAACCTAGTTCTCGTTGTCACTGGTACCAGTTAACGACTTCAATACATTAACCAGAACATCTTTACAGAACTTAGGTAACCTCTACAGTATAAGGCACTATAGTATACGGTAAGGTCTACGGCAATGGATGTTCTCTATGGTGAGATGTCGACGCACTTTATCGGTACTGATGGGTCTTCCGTGTATTCCCACTGTTTGGCGTGCCTGTGTGAAGGGATTCTGCACGTGCTGTCGCACAACATGGCGGTCTTGTGTAGCACTATCGTCGTTGCGACATTGTTTTTAAATTTATAGACAAGGAATGGAGAAATAAGATGGCTTTATATTTCATTAATTAATATCTTTGGCAAGTTAGTAATTTCAAACATATTCACATGTGTAGTGTGTACTAAATCAACTTATGGTATAAATGACATATTGTTATATAAAAAAGAGTTATTTAGCCATAACATGTGGCTATAAAATACCCCGAGATTACACGTGAGTAAAATTATTCTAATTGGATCATTTAGCTTAAAGTAACCAATCATATCGTTAATTACACAAGTTCAGGGCCATGATCACACTTGATTGTGCGTGATATTCATATGGTTATAAGAGAAATCGTGGAACTTTGTAAGACAGACTACCATTAGATTCCAGATAGGTTCCATCTGAGTTCCTAGACAGCCACGAGGCTGGATAGGGTTGAGAAATGGTTTTAGCTAGTATTGTTATCTTTTATGCTTGTATCCATATGTATTCGGCTATGCTATATAATGTAGAAGCGAACTGTTGCATTGTTATTCCTGGTAAGACAAACGTCTTAAGAAAACAGTAAGAAAACCAGTAAGAAGTAAACACAACGTGAAGCAGAAGTAAAGACAGTTGAGAAATGGTTTTAGCTAGTATTGTTATCTTTTATGCTTGTATCCATATGTATTCGGCTATGCTATATAATGTAGAAGCGAACTGTTGCATTGTTATTCCTGGTAAGACAAACGTCTTAAGAAAACAGTAAGAAAACCAGTAAGAAGTAAACACAACGTGAAGCAGAAGTAAAGACAGTTAGAGACAAATTCTAGACGATCACAAGGCTACAGAAATATATAGTAAGAAAAGATGCATGGGTCTACGTAGGATGTGGCGACCGGTTTGTGTAGTCTGCTCTCCACGTCAGACAAAAGACTCATGGTGCTACACTTGTCGCCTTGTGGTAACCCTTGGTCTACCAGTTCGGGGGCGATCATCCGTGGTGTTGGTGGCCCGAAAGCGTTGCTGAAGCTTGTAGATGGTCCGAACATTGACCTGGAAGTGATTGACAACGGCTTGTGCAGTGTGGCCAGCGTCGAGTCTTCCAAGCGCCTGGTTCCTCTGAGCTGTCGTGAGTCGTGGCATACTGCTGACGTTGTAATGTGAATGATTCAACCAGGTATGGGGTTGCATTTTATAGGACTAGTCCCGGTGAACAGCACGTGCAGCATGAGTTACATGGAAATCATGGAGAACACATTACCATCTCAGAAGTCAGGTTGCGTTTTTGAGAACATTTCCTGGGTTCAAATCTCTGTTTGGGAAGGAGCCTTATTGCTCAGGTACAGTTGGAGATGTGGTCACAAATATACAATAAAAACATTTGGCAAGTTGTATGCAATGCGTCTATTCAGAGTAACATACCAACCTGACGTTTCTTTTGCTGCTTAGTATATATAGATTATACTATTTGCATTTTCCGATAATTCTGACGATAAACAGACATTGAAGATATTTAATTATTGTAAGTGCATGGCAAATTATTAGGTGTTTCAACTGCCATTTGGAAATAAACCAATAACAATAGTTTAGATAAAAATCGCTCATCATAATAATAACGTTTACTTGTACAAAAAAGAAAAATCGATTGCCGCAATTAAATGCCAAATGGGTTGCTTAGCCTTATAAAGCCGGCGCGCAAATGTCACAATAGTTTCCTCAAGATATTGGGGGGGGGGGGGGATGGCCGAATGGTTAGCACGCGTACGCTGTATCATACGGTCTGTCATTGAGTCAACTGGAGGGGTTTCGATTTCCCGGTTGTACGTGACAAAGAGTAGGGTCGCCTGTCCAACCTCGTGGGTTTTCTCCGGGTTCTCCGGTTTCCTCCCACTGCTAAAGACCCCTAAGCGCAAGCGAATTATTGAAATAAAATTGAACCATGTGTTAGTCCCGAAATGACCTAGTTTATGTCGAGTGGACGTTAAACCCCATCTCTCTCTCTCTCTCTCCTCAAGATATGAATTTTTCTCTGTATGGTACAACATTGCACATGAGTTTCGCGTTAGCACCGCTACTACCCGCAAAAATACTCATGTTTATCGTTGCCCGACGGAACCACCTTTTTTTAACCACGATCGCTGACGATAAACCTTTTATTTTCCAGGTACTCGATCTTGATGTGGTTTTCTGCAAACGAATTCCAAACATGAAATTTCGGTATTTACAACCGTTCGAATCGACATTTTTTTCCGGAGCCTTACTCGGTAATAATTAATGTTATGAAATAAATCCTGACATGGCAAAGTCTATGGAATATACGTATCCATGATAAAAGACTATACTGTGTATCCCCACACCCCCACCCCGGCCAAAATAGACTGTTTGTATCTCGTAGTGAAAAATGCAGTCAGTAGTATGAAGAACGGAGGGACTTCAAGAACACATATGTAATGAATCATCCCAATGGCGTGTTAGATTTTTACACAGAGAGACGTCTTGCAGAGCATTCGAAAGGAGAAATCGTTGTCAAGAGTATTTGAGGTGATGGTAACAGGCTGTCACTGCCGACACGTAGTAAACCCGCATATTGGAACAAACACATATTTTACTAAGCAACTGCAAAGAGGACGCTATTAATTATAATCTCTTTGATGACAAAACAAATGAATGAACAAATTATGCAAGCTTCTCCTTACGACTATAAGATTGACTGATTGACTTAACTGCATCTGATTGAATTAACAAGATCAAGTGTTAAAACGAAAAAGGAATCGTCCAAACAGATATCGCTTTTGTATGGCTGTGCGACGAACTCTAACGACTAGCAGACAGAAGGCATGAAATTCTTCTGGACGATGTATGGAAGCGGTAATGGGGGAACTTCCGGAAGAATGATCAACACCAAATCAACAATAATTCCACTACAGTCGACGCACAGCGTTCAAGGGACAATATAAGCACAACTGGATAATACGGCCACGTTTTTCCGACAACAGATTACCATAATGATTGAGCCCGAAGTATTCATTAGATTGGCTGACAGTGCGAAAGACTTACAACATATATCTCGATAGAATTCGCGTGATAATATCTTCTCCGGACCTTTCAACTTTTTGTCTGCATTTCCCAGGCACTGTAAACCGGCCATGGCGTGGTTTTCTGCAGACGAATTCCGAAACATTACTGAGTAATTACGCTATAGTACCCATGCCATAAAACCATGCTGTGTATCCCCCAATTGGGGAGTTAAAGCTTAGCTCTCTAGGGACAATGATTCTAGGCGTATAAACTCTTCTAAAAAAACAAGTTTTAATATAATACTATACCCTATGTCCAGACAATATTATTAAACATAATTACTATTAGGTTGGGAAAATGTCCAAACCCTTCAAAGTAAAGCAGAGTGGCCGTGAGAGTTATTAATCAAGTGATCTCAAGTGATGTTACCACAGCTTTCATGGTATTATTCTATGTGTATATAATTGAAAATCCTGTATTTGAAAATTTCAATTCATCAATTGATTTTTCTTCCCGGTTTCATCAATCTTTAGGGTTTATTTAACTATTGTCTGGGTCACTGGGGATTTAAATTCTAAAACTCTTACCAATAAAAGTGTTATGCCAGGTTTCTTGAAATTGATTTCCCTGTCAAATATTCCCCCAAATAAAAAAAGTCGTCTCTTGTTACATCGTACCTTTGTCGAGTGGATGTAAAACCCAGTGATCATATTATAGACTACTACCCATCCCGTTTACAGTAGGATTGTATAAAACACCAGTGATCGAACCACAGACTACACTCATCCGATTTCCAGTAGGATTATGTAAAACCCCAGTGATTTCATTATAGACTACATCCATCCGATTTACATTAGGATTATTTAAAACCACAGCGATCTCATTATAGACTATACACCCATCCGGTTTACAGTAGGATTGTGTAAAACCCCAATGATCAAACCATAGACTACACCCATCCGATTTACAGTAAGAGGGTGAAAGGGAATTGTTTCCCACTCTTCGACATGACCGCGGATTGACAAGTTCGAATATATTTTCAATCTACAGATTATGACCTCTGTCGGTTTATAGTTGATCATCTCAAATAAAGATTTCTGATAAATTATTATTTTATAAGTAAATGCTACATTCAACACTAGTTCTGTCAAAATATCAACGTTATGCACATTTAATTTATGTTTGAGGTGATCTTGAATAACGTCATATTCTTAAGGGCCATTTAGTGGATCGTACTAGCACCCGTTCAAGTGTCTACTTGTGGTCTATCCAGAGATCACAAACAGAAAAGAATCGTGGTCGTGGAGTTGGAAGTGCTGAAACGTTTTTTCACGCCCTTTATTGGACAAATAAAGTGACGCCATCTTGTGACCACACCTGAATTTGGGTAGGGGGAGCCGGAGGGAAGGGCCAATGTTCAGTGTTGGAAAATAATATGTTTACACTAACAAGATGGTGCCACTTTACTATGACCTTCATGATACGAGACCATGGCCTCAATAATACGAGATTTTATTGACCAGTTAGTGAATAATTATGTAAATAAATACTATATTTATATTTCAGACCAGCCGTGTAATGTAACAATGAAGTTGTTTATAGAAAGTTTTCATTCAATCAGTGAGACAGATATGGTAAATATATCTATCAATCATATTATGTAGAGAACAATTGTTACACTGAAAGACCGTGACTACATCAATTATTCTGTTTTACTCACATTTGAAAGCACAATAATCGAGACTTAAAGACAAATATCCTCGGAAAATATGAGAGAAAGAGAGAAATGAGATTTAACGTCCATTCGCCACAAACCTGGTCATTTCGGGACTAACATATGGTTCAATTTTGTTTCAATAATTCGCTCAGGCGTAGGGGTCTTTAGCATTGGGATGAAACCGGAGGACCCGGAGAAAACCTACGAGATTGGGCAGGCAATCGAAACCACGCCAGTTGACTCAACGACAGACCTTATGATACAGCGCGCACGTGCTAACCATTCTGCCATCACCCCCCCCCCCCCCCAACCCCGGAAAATATGAAATGTGGTAGCTCCAGGTACTCTTTCAAAAACACTTTTTTGAACAAAACAATTCCGATTAACTTTGTCCACATTTAATGTGCACCCTCTACAGGTCAGAATTGGTATCCGATTTTGACGAAACTTTAAAAACTATAGGTTTATATCCCAAAGATCTAGGTTCCTTTCGATATTGGCATGTATCGAACCATACCTTTGTGGGTTAATGCCCCTTATTGTACAAAAAATACCACGTTTTTAGCATTTGGGCCATTTCGAGATCACATTTTTTTATCCGATTTTGATGTATGTTTATTCACCAAGGATCCCGGTTCCTTTCGGTTTTCGACGCCTGTCGGATCGTAACTTCCTGGATTATGGCCCTTGATTGTACGAAAAATCGCTTTTTCAACTTGTTCTCTGTCCATCTCTTGCAAAACATGGGTGTATCTTGTGTTGATCAAAATATCGTATATATTTATTGAACATATCGTATATATTTGTTGAAAATAGGGTATATATTTGTTAAAAAATATCTTAAATTGAGTTATAGAAGTGAAAACTAAAAACCCAGTCGTATATCATGACAAGATGCGATAGAAATGGCACGCTTAAAATAAAGTAGATCGTAACATATTTTGTTAACCGTTGACATTCCTTGCACATTTTAAAATCTGCGACTCTGTGGCTACGAGTCTTATCATTGGGGCGTATCTTTTACTTAGTTCCAGGTGCAGTATCTAAAGTATTATTTTAAAAAAATTGCAAGAACGGTAACAAATAAAACATATGACGAGATCTGTTATAATATAGACCTAATGTTCAAATAATTTTAAAATAGTATGACCCTATTAGTATACATATATTTCAACAACATGAAATAAGCGTTTTTGTAGTCGCACCTACAACATAGACATACGGATCATACACATTAAACTGCCGTCATACCAAAAGGTCGTCATACAAAAAAGGTCATCATACCAAAGACATCCTGGTCCAAAAATTGTTATAATCGATAAGCTTAACTTAAGGTGTTGATATATACTTATATATATACTTTCTATATGGATTTCGCTACTTCTTCTTATTTTTGTCCAATTGTATCTGACATTGGCTGTTGTTTTTTGGGGGGCTTTAATATTGTTAATTACCACCTGGTAAAAGTAATGAATTGTCGTTTTTGTGATCAGATAGATTTCAGATTGGAATGCAAAGCTTGAAATGGAATGGACAGATATTAAGAATTGTATTCATTAGCTTGTATCAAAATAGCTACAATGATGGATGCATTATCCGAAGTACTGCAACTAGTTTGGTATTTGAAATAACCAGTAAACAGGCCAGCTGTTGCGTTATGAAGAGAACTTTAATTGTCTATATTCCATGGTTTGTAATTCAAGTTGTGCATTGCGGAAACTACAATTCAAACTACATAATGAATAAAATATAAAAAAATCTACACCGGCTGAACTGCTCCTTTCAGCTCATTTTACTTACAGCGACAAGAAGTCTGGAGTTTGCCATGACAATCGTACTGATCAGATCTATTTATGAAGGATTCGGTTGACATGATCTGTATGTTTAACTCGCAACACTACTGTGGTAATGTGTCTATCACATTATAAAAGTACACCGAATTGTGTTTACGTGTTCAATTTTATTCTCATTTAATTTCAGCAATTTGTCACTGACGTCATCATAGAACAGAGATGGATAGATCCAAGGCTGGATTTTTCTGGAGTGATCGAGTCTCCATTTTTCGAACTCGACACAAAAATGATGAATCGAATATGGGTTCCTGATTTATATATACCTAATGAAAAGAGTGCCTACTTTCACGAACTAACATTACCAAATAAAATGTTACATTTACACAGTAACGGCAGCGTCGTTTACAAAGCCAGGTAAATAACACATTGTTTAAAGGACTAACCCACAACCGGTTTAATTTGGCACAAAAAATTCACGAATTCCTTATCATTTCAGCAATTATGTACATGTATAAAATTATATAGTTCTTCAGAAACATGCACACATCGTCAATGCATATGGTATACATGTAAATTTTATTTTTTTAATAATATTATTCAAAGAAACAGATACATCCATGACAAAAAATACGAAATGACTGAGTTAAGGTGCATTTTGCATACCGATAGTCCATTGGCCAATCACGCTATTTTACCGAGATTTCGCCTAATAGTTTGGATGCAGCTATGGCGGGTGTGGCGCCAGGCAGGGTAAGCTTACTCTTCCGGACACCTGTTACCACTGTTTGTCGTGTATTTTGTACACCGTGAACAGTCCATATGCTGATTACACTATTTTGCCTTATTACACTTTTTTGCCTATACCGTTTTTTTAGGACTTCGAATTTTGTCTAATGGTTTGGATTGTTCGTACTTGGTTTTATTTCATGTCTTGAATAATCTGCTTTTTAATGATAACCCATAAAAACCAGCAAAAATTACACAATGTACACTGGTTTATTTCCAATATTGCTTCAAAGTTACTGACAATTTATTTTCAACCAAACAGTCTGAGAAAGGCTTTAAAGCTTTACTTAGTGTTTGAGAAATAATTTCATGATAACGGTCATAAGACCGTTTTAGCTATAATTGTAGGGATTGCAATACTAAAAGTGTACTAACTGTATGTAAAAGGAATCGCAGTCACATGGCGTTTTCTAAATCGAAACATTTATTAAAACGGCGATATTTCGAGCATTAAATAATATATGACCCCAAAATATGTATACGATAGCGTATAGGGTCAATAGCGCAATATATTTTAACATACTATGATTGTTATGGTGATTTTACCCCTAAAAAGACAATTTAATTGAATCAACGCACTCTGTTGTATGTCGTCATTTTATTTTAAATTTGGAAGGCCTGTAAAGTTGTTCAGATGGGATAAAAAAAAAATGCCGTGTAAAAGTAAGTGTGCACATAAAAGAGCCCCTGACGGATGGAATTCGAAATAAGAGCAGGCCGTAGTGCCGCTGTCCAGGCAAAATTTCCGACATTAGCCCAATTGATGCAGAAAAGAGGGACTTTAAACTCCACTTCATTTCATATCATTTTTAATGATGAGACGTAACTAAATATATATAAGTTTAGGTCCAAGAAAATAAGGAATTGGCTAACGAAATAAGACACTAAATCTTGAAGAATTCATTTTCAAATAAAATGACGTCTAAGACATTAAAGTTACACGACTTTGCCCAGCATATTTATATAGGTCTGTATAGGTAAAAATTTAAAGGGAATAATTCTACATGACTAAAAATGTGTGGGTTGCTAACACGGCTAATTATTTCTTTAGTTTCCATCTAGATTGATGCGAGTTGCCTTAATATAATCATAGTGTCTGCTTCTATTTTTCAGAATCACACTGACAGCCGCCTGTTATATGGACCTAAGAAAATATCCCTTAGATACCCAAATATGTTCCTTATATTTTCAAAGTTGTAAGTAAAATCGCCTTGTTTCACGGTTTTTTTTTATAAAAAAGTATTATCCTACATAGTTGCAACATGCTACACGAATAAAAATACTATATTACACAGATTACAATGCTACATTACATTACATTATTAACAATAACATAGTGTACAGTTTATGATACTATATTGCACAGTGTATGATACAGGGCCTTGTTTCTCAAAATCCTAACTAAAGATAAAATCCAATTTTAGTAGATACTTCAATTTTGATTGGCTAAGAACTAAAATCGATCTAATATAATCCAATCAAATTACTTAAATTTGGATTTTATCTTAGTTAAAATTTCGTGAAACAGGCCCCGGGTTAGAACTATTACACAGTTTATAATACTATATTGTACAGTTTAGACCAGTGTTTTACACAGTTTATGATACTATCGAGCAAATGATAAAGACAATGTGCATAAGGGGGTATAGAAATCATATCGTTGAAAGGACTTCAACCTGAAGTCACGGAAAAACCAACCGATAACCATTTCCTTTTTCGAGAAGCCTTCGTAGTCAATATCCAGCGACCCAAGCATCAATATCCGGACTACACGCCTTTAGATATGACAGCTTTAATCATTGTGTTTCCTTCGAACGTGTACTTGATTGTTTCTCCGTGGCATTAATCGTTGTTACTTTTTTTTTTGAATTTCTGGGGAGTGGTGGCCGGTGGGGAATGAATACAAGGGTGGGGTGGGGGATCTGAATATGAATTTAATTATATATCAACAGGAAGCTTGTTTGTCAACTTACTTTGTTATTTGCAAAAGAAGAATGCTTTTGTCTGAATAATATTTTTAGGAAAAATCATACGAGAATCGTATGTGTGCGATAAGAAAGAAACTTGCTCTCAAACCAGCGATGTGTGTACACGCATTTGTGTTTGTCAGATAAACGATACATATTATCTATATTATATAGAGAGGATTAAATATATTCCATCGTGTAATATTTAGATTTTTCTGTGTGATTGAACATTACCATCGGATAGTTTTTGTTTGCCTAAGTCCGTGTTGAAAAGCCAATGTTATGGTTACTGAGAATAACAGATCATGAAATATATTCCATATTGTCGAATCTGGTCGTTGACTGCATAGAATTTCTCTGGTTTTTATGTATTATCATCTTACTAATACCTTTCGGATCCATACTTTAATTTTTGTCAAGCCAGAAAAAATACCATTATTTTCATGTAGAGATAAATTTTAATATTGGAACAGGCGAGTTAATTAACCCCCAGGGGACACATCGTTAGGTATTCATAACACTGAATTATAAAACACGTGGTATCAAATTAATGTGATTGATTTCCACGATAAGTATCTAGTACGGTTTTTATTGTTTTATGGTATTAGTTGGCGTAGATATCGGGAAAAATGTGACTTCTGTCGAAAACACGATAATCTCTCATTAATCAAAGCGGATCGCTTTATAGCTATGGTCTCTAAAAACATTTCATAAAAATACAAAGGGTCAAAATATGTTTGATTTAGGTCAAAATCATGTTTTGAACTGGATTACAATGGAGTGTAATTGCGATTAGAATTGGACAAGAGCTACGCTCTACACTTAATGGATTGGAATTGGGTGCCAGCACCCTGTTTGTGTCATTTTAAAACTAATGATAATTTCCTTTGCTTTAATAAAGTATACAATGCAAATGTTAAGCTTTAGGCAGAAGTTGGTTGGCCTGTCGTTCACAGTGAAGATAACTTCCAGAGTTATTCCCCTTTGTTATGAAATCTTGTTATCACCACAGAGGCTTCAATTATGATCTGGGCAGTCTGAACTGAACATATTGATTGTGAGAAAGAACCGTATTAATATGTAACGATTTTACGATTTTTGATAACTCCGATCTTTCTGATGTTGATATGGATTGTCTACCTTCCAATCGAACAGGGCAGAACATAGCAGTCCCCCATCCTTTTTCTCGGATCCAGTAGTAGTAGTAGTAGTAGTTCTTGGTGTTTAACGTCTGCTTCCACATAAGTGATATCGCAGACAAGACATAGGAGAGCCGAAGCTGATTCCTGTTTTTAGAATATGATTTTGCAATCTTTCCATTTGGCATTAGGCCATGGATTTGGTTTAGTGGGAAGTTCTTCCCTATATTTAATATAAAACATATCGTTTGGTAGATTATTTCGTCTGCTTCTGGATTGGTAGAGTCATCGTTTGGGGTTAGTGTTTAGGTGCCAGGCCCGTCTTGTCGTGGCCTCCCCTTACTCCACTATCCCACTCTTTGGGCTTGGTATCAGTTTTATTTGCAGAATAGTGTTTAGGTGCCGAGTTCGTCTGATCGTAACTCCCCCTTACTCCACTATCCTGCTAGTTTGGTAGATGTCATCTTTGAGGGGTTTGTGTTTAGGTGCCAGGCCCGTCTTATCGTGACCTCCCCTTACTCCACTATCCCACTCTGTAGGTTTGGTGTCTGTTTTTGGCGGAATAGTGTTTAGATGCCGAGTCCGTCTGGTCGTGACTCCCCCTTACTCCACTATCCTGCCAGTGTGGTATAAATCCTCTATGTAGTTTAGTATTTAGATGCCGAGCCCGTCTAGCCGTGACCCCCTCTTACTTCACTATTCTACTTAGTCCAACTGTGTCCATTAGGGCGTGGATTTGTTCGAAGATTTGCAGTTTCAAATCTGGTCTCGGGAAGAGTAGATTCTTAGTGTTGAATGGTATGTTGTTAGTCTCCATTGTTCTCACTAGGTCCATTCTTTCCTCCTTGTATACCTCGCAGTCTACCAGGACATGGTTGGTGGTACATTCTTCTCCGCACTCACAGATGATAACTTGGTGTTTGTAGTCTCGCAGCCGCTCTTTCACCCTTAGCATCGATATAAGTCTACATATATCTCTTCTAGGGTGATTGAGTGTTGTCTTTGTATAGATCTTGTCATCCAGCCGGAATCTGTATGTGTCAAGTTCAACGAGATTTAATTCCCAGATTGAATTGACCTGTCTTTTGACCATACTGTAGATTTCCGTGGTGCTGTAGTCTATGGTGCGGAGTGGTGCTGTGTCCTTGAGACCTTCATTGGCTCTCGGATCCAACCAACAAGCCAAAGATATACATAAAATTATAAAGAGACTTTACAGAGATTATTAAAAATATTTTCATAAGTAACAGTCTTTCCATTTGAGCTGTTGCTTCCCGCGGTTGATGGCAATAACGATAATTTTAAGTAATTCCACATAATTTTTCCGACTAACTAGCATTAGGTATCTGTAGTTGTGTTACTGTATGCATTCTACCTAATATTTCAACACAGCGGTAGAAAAATGTTCATCACGTAGGGTTAACGATGCTATATCGCGTCTGTTTAGATATCGTTTGTTTTTAACCCAGGCAATGTGCAGCGTTAGCCTTTATACCATAAAGTTACATTTTAATACGGGTTGATTCACGTCTTGGGATTTTATATATATACAAATTATTTTAATAACAAAAGTATACAAGGCCATCAGATCCATATTAAAATACACCATAAACTGTAAATGTTATATAATTCAGTAACTGGGGACAAACATAACAGTAAATGTCTAACAATATTATTACACTTTTACTAAGCTAGCACTAATTAGCTTTATACGATATAAAATTCATAACAGTTACATTAACACACAATCAAACTCGATGTCAAAGCTAGTAATCTACTAAGGATTTAAAATTGCTACCAAATTATCCTGGTCAGACACTATAGAGATATTTTATATCTACTTGTCCCATAGGTTACAGATAGTTTGTCCCATGAATTACATATATGTATAGAAAAAGAACTGTTTATGTATAATTTGTCCTACAAACTGGCTATACTTCTTCCCAGAATAGCTAAATTAACTATGAACCGAAACAGATATTAACCTAAAGGATTTAGTCTTTAAGACTTTTACTACGCCTTGTTTAAAGTGTGATTCTGCCTTAAGACTACTTAAATAATAATGAATGGTGTCAATTCTGTGCCTGCAGAAAAAATAGGACGTTAAACCCCTTTTCATTTCATTTCAATACTGTGGGACATTTGCAGGACATTTTTTATATACGACTTTTGCTAGGATTTGTCTAAACGTGTGACCCTGCCTTAAGACTACTTTAATGCATATAATGGATCATGTCAATACGTGCAACATTTGCCACATTTGTTTGCATTCTTTGGCAGACACACAAAGCTAAAACAGAAATATTGGCCAATAACCCTTGTATTTGTAAGATGGAAAATTACATGCTAAAAACCGTATTAAACATACTGTCCCTCCAGCTTTAATCAACTGGTACTTAAAAATAAAGTGCTCGCGGTATAGCTATGTCGTCCGCGGAGTAATTGCAAGTGGTCGGAATTTCACTGTCTTTAATTTTGTTTAAGTGTACAAGATTTGCCAAGACCTAACTGCTTGATGTCATGCCATGAGTTGGCAATCCCTGACTTTATTTTTCCATTTTGGTGTAGACCACGTTAAAAGCTTTAATAACGGACTATCGTTACAAGTATATATCCCGGAGAGAGCCGGCGATCGAAATCTCACCGGATCCTTTGCTTATGTGGAAATAAATCAAATAATTCTAAAAACTAGCCTGAAGACAGTGAACTAGAGATCCGAATGTTTATTGGTTTGAGGAAAGAAGATGTGCTGCGCCGTACGCGGTCGATTGATCATATTTTTAAACAAAGAGGCCTACAAAAAGGACCTCAGACCCCACCCCACCCACAAATCAACTCCACTTTCCAGCATAGTATTATTATATTTATTAATTGACTATTCAAAAACCTGGCAACAATTGTAAAAGTGCCATGTACGTCTTTTCTATCGTGTATTCAGAGTTGGACGAAGAAAAAGGATTATGCCAAATGCATCTCCATTGGCATTTCAGACCTGTTGATCTCCTGCCTTTTATTTTACAGTTTCCTACAGTACAAGTAATGTGGTGTTTGTATGGGGTCCTAATCCCATCAACAATAAAAACGTGAAAAAGACTTTACCAAAGTTTGAAATTATAAATACAACAGTCGGCGAGTGTAGTAATACTTTTGAAGGTGAGTGTGCTTTTAGACCAATCACTTTCTCTAGGGTTTTGAAAAACACGTCATCACGATCGATAACGCGTTAAAAGGTTGAAAGTGTCAAGCAATAATTTAACTGTAAACCTACGTTTCGTATTCGTCTGAGCTCACATAATATGCCACAAGAGACGTTATATGAGAAGTGAACTAGAATAAGTGGTAATATAACATAATACCACGTGTTGTGACCCGATTCTTAATTATGCAAGTGCCAACTGTATTACCATATCTCTACAGACAATGAAAATAAAACCACCAAACAAGCCAACAGTGAGACTGATGTTCCCCCAAAATAAATAGATGACACATATTAATTAATTAAGTGCACAATTTAGCTTTCGAAAAGTATCGAACAATCAAACTGATTATCTAAGCAGAGAGAGAAAGAAATGGGGTTTAACGCCCACTCGACACAAACTAGGTGATTTCGGGGCTACCATGTTTCAATTTTATTTCAATAATTCGCTTGCGCGTAGGGATCTTTAGCATTGAGAGGAAACCGGAGGACCCGGAGAAAACCCACGAGGTTGGACGGGCGATCCTACTCCTTGTCATCACGCTCCATAAGTTATCTTGTCCCAAAGCCTCGACCAGTGAAATTGCTTAGTTTTGCTTAGCTTTAGTGGAAAATGTTAAATTAATTTAGCATTTAATTTTGGAATTAAAGTTGGAATTTAGTTGCTGTCCGGGTAAAATTTCTCTCATAGCACACTGTATGCCGTATGACCGTTTTCATTAGCCCAATCGGTGGAGAGCAGTATGGCGTTAAACACCATTTCATTCATTCATATACTACTATATGTTAAAATTAAACTTTATTCTTTTTTACAGTTAACCATACCTGTATAAGTGTACACTTTCACCTGGCACGTAATCCAGGTTTTTATATTCTTCATGTATATATACCAAGTATACTTATAGTCATCATCTCTTGGATATCATTTTGGTTGAGTAAAGACGCCGTAACAGCCAGGGCTTCATTGGGGATCCTGACCATCTTGACGATGACCACACAAACTACTTCATCTGTAGCATCACTCCCTAAAGTTTCTTATATAAAGGTAGGAGTCTAATCTTTTGTGGCTGAGTTGTCTAACGCGTCACGAGTATAGCATCTATTTAAAGTTACGAGCGCAACCCACGTTGTTGGTTACAATGTTAGTCCCAAGAACTTGGTTTGTGTGAAATGTCTATATTTTGTCCGTAATATCATACAGTCTGCAGTTCCGCCGCATGTCATTACTGTATTCAGATGATACAAAGTATCGAATTAACAAGTACCAATAAAGGTCGCATTCTGTTCTATTTTACTATCAAGAACACAGATAAACTGCCCTCTTTGCTGGGAAATACATTTACAAATATGCCAATTTCTTATTTTTAGGCCATAGATATATGGATGGTAGTATGTTTAGGATTTGTATTTGCGGCCTTTCTGGAGTATGCTGTACTTCAGGTACTGATTAGAAGAAATTCATGTACACAACGGACCCATCTTACGGCTCCGGTTTATGAAGAGGTCGCTTTGGTGCCCACTGAAAAAGTGAGTAATTGGATTTATTAGAATATTGGACTCATGGGGGTTGGGGTTGTATAAATGGCTAACTCATGATCTACACAGTCAAGAAAGAAAAGATCTTTGTTAGTATTGCAACCTCTTCTAAAATCAACCTCCAAACTGTGAACCCGGATGTGGTTTTTTTCAATTCTTTTTGGGACAAAGTATCTCTTACATCTTAATTACTTTTGTTTGATCTCATAATTGATTTATTATTTGTTTTTGTAAATACTTACATTATATTTAACTTCGAACCTGCCTTTTATTCTCTCGATTTGAAATAATGGTCATCCATGACAAATAAAGTACTCCCACAAAAGTTTCCTGCATAGCCACCCTCAGTGGAAAAGTTCGGGAAAATAACAATTTGTTGCGAGGATCTTTGTCTAAAACATGCTACTATAAATACTTTTTTTTATGAATGGAATTTTCACATACATTATTTTCTTTAATTCAATAGGAAACCGTTGTGGAAGAAACTGGTGCTGAACCCGTTAGTAATAATCTGTATTGTGTTAATGATGGACCCATCAAAAGGAAAATCGGCGTTAAAATGGTAAACAATTAAAAACTTAATACTCCAATTACAGGCCAATTCAAAACTAATAAGAAAAAAATATAAAAAAATGTATAGAATTAGTTTGCCGATAGCATGCCAGATAGTCGAAATATCAATCAAGCCTTAGATCTTTCAAATATTTTGGAATTACTACCCAATAATTCTGTGCAGATAGAAAATTGTCGAATTCCGGATTTTCCCCTTTATCAAAGTAATAAATGTCTTTTACTTTTGTTTATGTTAAGAGCCCAGGAAACATAGGAAATTTTAAAACAAGGAGTGCATAATAACCCCTTACGGTAAATTGGAAATTGCTCAGTTGCCCAATATTACACACACTTGCAACCGCGTTTTGCTATTTAAAAGATCACTGATGGGGAGGGGCGATGGCTAGGTATGGTGCTGCCTCATTAACAAGACGTTGTCGGATCGATCCTTGTGTTGGCAAAGCAAGTTTCTACAGAACCTGGCCAGGATCAACGTCTAGTTGTTCGAATGGAAAGAAAATTGAAACTTGTTTAACTGAAGTTTGTGTGTATCGATATTTTTGTTAAGTTAATTTTTTTTATTCTATATTGTTTTAGGTAAAGGCTATGACGGGGTCGTTGGGTGGGGTTCCGCCGGAATGTTGAAATATTTCGAAAAGCCTTGTTTAAAACTCGCTTCGCTCGGCGTGTTCTAATATGTCCTTTAGTGATCAAGAAACGTTAAATAAAGTGATTTTTTAAATATATATTTGCAGATGAGGTATGAAAATCAAGAACCGTTTTTTTCACTACCCGACAACACCAAAACCCCTAAGCTCACCGTTTGTGCTGGACTGGATATATTTTCACGAATTATCTTTCCTACAAGTTTCATTTCATTCAATTTATTTTACTGGATATATTTTTCTTCATCTGTCATCCTGAATCAGGATATTCATACCAGTTGATTGTAAAGTCGATGACATTAGTGACATGACCAGAAAAGACACGTGGAGGCAATGCCAAATAACGTTATGAGAAAAGATAGGTTGCCAGGCAACGAAACATACGCCCACAGCAGCTAAATCGTCCGGACAGTCAACAAGAGTTGTCGCATATTTTTACTTTTTTCGGTAATGAAACATTTATAATACACTAAAATCTGATTAAGAGCAACAACTCAGAAAACCATTAGAATTTGTTTGGTTTTTATAAAGTTCTGCCCCATGCTAACGTTTTGTATACAAAACTTTTAATACTGTATCATGGATTTAGCTGTTCCAAGTCATAAAAATTCATTGAAAATCAATATACTTGCTCGTCTCAAGATCCTAAACTCTGTGTATCAATCTGAAGTCAATCGGATATTAACTTTGGCCTCTAGAGCGTCCACAAGATTTTTCAAAGTGATCAAGGGCCATAACTTTGGCAGTAATTATCAGAAATCTTTGAAAATCAATAGGATTCTTCGCCTCGTGACCTCAAACACTGTGTATAAATTTAAAGTCAATGAGATATTAACTTTAGCCTTTAGAGCATCCACAAGGTTTTTTTGAAGTGACCAAGGGCCATAACTCTGGCAGTAAATATCGAAAATCACTGAAAATGAATAGTTTTCTTCGTCTCATGACCTTAAACACTGTGTATAAATTTAAAGTCAATCAGATATTAACTTTAGACTCTAGAGCGTCCACAAGATTTTTCAAAGTGATCAAGGGCCATAACTCTGGCAGTAATTATCGTAAATTGCTGAAAATCAATAGGATTCTTCGTCTCATGACCTTAAGCACTGTGTATAAATTTAAAATCAATAGGATATAATAACTTTGGCATCTAGAGAGTCCAAAAGATTTTTTTGAAGTGATCAAGAGCCATAACTCTGGCAGTAATTATCAGAAATCGCTGAAAATCAAGAGGCTTCTTAGTCTCATGACCTTAAACACTGTGTATAAATTTAAAGTCAATCGGATATTGACTTTCGCCTATAGAGCGTCCACAAAAATTTTTGAAGTGATCAAGAGCCATAACTCTGGCAGTAATTATCGGAAATCGCTGAAAATCAATAGGCTTCTTCGTCTCATGGCCTTAAACACTGTATATAAATTCAAAGTCAATCGGATATTAACTTTAGCCTCTAGAGCGTCCACAAGCAATTGTGGACGCCGGACCGACGGACGGACAGGGGCGACGACAATATACGACCCCATTTCAATGTGGGCGTATAAAAAGCTAATGTGGGTGCTTATTAATTTTGTCCAAATTGTGTCATACTTAAAATATCAAGTACAGATTGGAACCCCAATCATTCTGTGAAAAGAAGAAAATGGTCAAATTTGGGAGATTTTTTTAAGAAACGAAGTAAACAGAAAATGACCCAAGAACCCAAAACGGCTAATGTAAAATCCAGTATGCAAATGTCGATTTACTTTTGACTTTGTTTTCCAGTTAGGCCTTAAAAGTTTTACATTGATGTACATGCACCATTAGCTTATGGAACTTGACTATTATGAAACTTGTATATATGAATTTTTGGATGACTCCTTTGTTTACGCTTCTGCATATTTCATCTAATTTAAATATGGACTCGGGACATTATTAATGTCTTAATAACGAATTAAGTCACCCTGTTTATAGTCTTTTATCTCCTTTTCCCTCCCCCACCACCTTTGCGTGGCGAATTTCGTTAACTTTTTATTGTAGAATTGAAGAAAAGGGTTTGAATTTACATTTTCTGTAAGATTTTGGTGAACAGAACCCATATTCACGATTTTCCACCGGAAGGATGAAAGTTCAGAGGATGGTTATATTGAAATGTAAGGCGGATATTGAGTTAGGTGTTTACTGGTATGCTACTTCCAGTTTGTGTATCTCAGTATTTCCATATTGAACACCATACGGCTTTTGAACAGGCGTTGCCACATGTTGCCCGAGTTGTGGTAGAAAGCGTTCAACACAACGGAAATATTGGGAAAAGTTAGAGCAAGTTTAAAGATATTAAATTGGATAATCCATAAACAGCTGTTTATTTAGAATATGGTTTGCCGTGAATGACTGCTAATAGCTTTGTCGTATTTGTCCATGTGCCACACCTGTGTTAAAAGTATATTGTCTCAATATATACTATTAAATGACACATACGATAATAACACGTTCATGGTGTTCTTTGATATCTCTGGAAGTTCTATTTAATATATAAATAAATACTACCAATGTAACCGGGTCTAATTCAAACAAAAGACAAAACTGTAAATATTAACATGATCACTTTGTTCAATTATTTTTTAAATTATTCATAGCTGTCTTTTTCATGTTTTGGTTATACATCTTTTTGTATATTCATGTTTTGTAATATTATTTGTCATATTATTATAGGAGCCAGGCAATATAGGCCTAACCTGTTCCTCAATCCGTTTCTATGAATAAAATACTGTTTATAAAAAAAAATATGAAAACAAATTTACTTACAGCTGTAAATATATTCATATTATTGTTACTTTAGTCAAAGCGAAGATATTACAATCAATTAGGATGTGTGTATACTGTATGTACACTACACAGAGGAAAAAAACTTTATTTAATCTAAATTTAATCTTGATTTACATTCTGAAGTCTTTGTTAAATTGTTCTACAAACGTGTCTGTTTTTTCCTCTAAATGTCTTAATTCCTTCTGTGTTTTGTCCACGTGAATGGACGCTTGCGTTGATAGAGGTGTTACTGAATGAAGAGTCTGTCTCTCCTGGCCAAAATCTGATTGCAGCCGACTGTCTTTATTCTTAAATTCAGTTAAGATGGTTTCTTTATGAATGGCTTGTGTTACTTCATTGTGTCTGGCCAAAGATAAACCACAGTTAATTTCATTAAGAGTTTGGTGTAAGAAGTGTTTTATTTGTAATTTGGTATCTCTGGGTGTTGGCTCATAATAAATACTATCAGAAAACAAAGACTTCAAATACTGGAGAAATAGAACCAGTTGGCTGTGTGATCTGAAGTTTAAAAAAAGGAAATGAAATAAAATTAAATGGTATTTAACTTCCTACTGTTCTGCGCCGGTTGAGATAATGAAGACGGGCATACGCCATACAGTGTGCTATGAGGGAAATTTTGCCCGGGGAAGCGGCGCTACGGCCTACTCTTACATCGAATTTCAATTGCCAAGAGATCTTTTACGTGGACCCAATGTGTACAAAGGATCTTGGTTGTTCTTCCCATCCAAACGACTATACAATATCACTTGCCCGACCCTCTGTTCTACACCACTGACAATTGGGAATCACACCGGAAAATCCTGACGAACTTTCTCGGCCAACGCCGGTAACGAACACGGAACCTCCAGGTTAGCGAGCCAGCGTCTTACTCACTGAGCCACCGCGTCTCCCAAGAAAAGATAGGTTGACAGGTAACACGCTCCCATCATTTCCCGTGTCCTTCAGGTCATAATACAAAGAAATTGATCTAAATACGACTACACCCCATAAAAGCATTATAGCCCCCCCCTCCTCTCCGGGAAAAGCAGTGCACTGTACCCCTACCTACACAACGATGTACAAAAATATAAATGGTCGTTAAAATTAAATATAATATTTATTGTATTTGTACTTCTAACAAAATAAGAGTTTAAACATTAAAAAACTTTCAAGATTAGCATGGGGTTGCGCGTCAGGGATCACATGAGCAGCTTTTGACCCAATGACGTCAGATATTTAATTAACCAATCAGAGTTGGTGTTTCAAATGGTATTTGGGAATACAACTTTTGCTTTGTCTTCGCGGCGAATGTCTACCCACAGTTCCGTGCAACACACGCCAAGAACTCGTCCCAACAGATCATTTGATTGGAAATCCCTCAGCTCAACCAGAACGCAGGTTATATAACAACTCTTTAGCATTGGGAGGAGACTAGGGAAAACCCACAAGTTTGGACAGGTAACCCTACTTCTTATTACGTACAAACTCGGAATCGAAACCACGCCACATGTCTCACTGACAGACACGTTAAAACATTCGGCCACCCAGCCTCCTATTTTATAAGAAGAACGTAGAATTTCCACGTCCGTTCGGAACAAGATGTATTAGTAATCAACGAAATTGGTCTAATGTATAAAATTATGTCTAGTGAAAAGATATTTTTAGTTGTTCGAATGGGACGAAAAACTAAGGTCACGTGTATAGTACACGTTTCCGTGCACGTAAAAGAACCATTGACCGGGGGAATTTGAAATGAGAGTAGGGCCTGGTTGTAGTATTAGACAAATACATTTTGGAGAAAAGATACATCTATATGCGTTTTGGTCCACTAGAGTCGGTTAGAAATCAACTAAAATGTGTACGATTCTTAATATGAATGGTAAAACTAGTATATTCAACGCAGGCTTAGCAAATTTGTCTTGAAAGATTTAAATACAGTCTAATTTAATCACGTCCAGTGTAACTATTTAATACTTTCTTCGCGGTCACTTTGGCTGAATTTAAATAATGGCATCGACCGATTCCTAAAAGTTTGGGTCATGACGAAATTCAAAATACATAACCCAACAAAACTGATTTCAGCTCCATTACCCTACAGACTAAAAGGCAACAGTTCCTCTGTCTTACGATTTAATGACATCCCCATTTTACATCAAATTTTCACATTGCCGTGTATCTATAATCCCGCCAGAAACTGTTATATGGATCCACAAAGGGATTGAAAAGATTATAAGAAGAATTCCATTAGTTTGTAAAAACAACTAAACTACTTAAGCTGTCAAAGAGTATCAACACGACATTAATCAGACTGGGCCGAATGGTTTGAAAAATATGAGTTACTCGGGTTGTGTATGTATAACTAATTTACCTGTAATGGACTATAGCTGTAGCGTGTTTTAAATCTGTAGAAAGTGTAATCTCTATACGAACTAAATAAAACAACCCTGGCTGTATATGAATATAGCACCTTAATTTTGGGTGGTACATTAATCCTTGTAGTTTACTTAAAGAATTGTGTAGATTACCGAGGCGACCAAATTTCCCTTTAATAAAAATCTGTGCGGAATCTTGTATTGTGTCGAGGCATAATCGATCTTTACGAAGCACACTGTCTGCAAAATATCAAAGCACAACCATATTAAATCATTTCACCCTATTTCTTAATATGACCCAATCTGTTGACAGGTGAACATCTAAAATGTAGTAAAAAATGGGATGAAATTTACTGAAACAGAAAAATCATTTCAGAAACACGGACTGTCAGTTAAAATAACAGGAATACGGTCTAATAGATATTCCAAACACGCGACACTATCTGGAGAAAAACGGTCTTCCCTGATATAGTTTCACAACAAAGTTATTACACACTATTCGGAGATGCAACATCAAATAAATCAATCGACAGGCCATTACATTACATTTACAGCGTCTCCGATCCACTTAAAGGTGTAGACCCACATTTCGCATGGTAATCTAAAGTGGGTTTATGTATACAAATCAGTTGTAGACCTGGCTATCCAGGTACTTTGTTGGATAGCGTGGAAACCGATTAGTGATTTATCTAATTAACCCTTTTAATTTACTAATAACAATTACACGTGAGACAGCTCCTTTAATTAATCAAATTAATCACGTGATAAACAAACCATAAAATTAAAAATATGAAATATGTATGTGATATTTACCTGTATAGTTGAAGGAAGTTGAAGTTTGAGAGAGCCTGTCAACTAGTGAATTATTGGTCATGTCCGTAGCAGTCAATGTTGTGTCTTTTTTACAACTTTTCATTATTAACCTATTGTTGTCTAAGCCGAATTCTCCATCAACACTTACGTCATAATACTGAAGAAATACTGATAAAGTAACGACTCCCTGGGTTAATTTTAGGGATAAAATATCACAATATGTGGTTAATGTGATTTCTTGGTCAGATAACAGAATGCCATTAGGTTCTGTCATTTCGTCGTTTAAATGGATATCCTCGTGCTCATCATCAATCTTCATCTTCTTAATTATGGGGTTATCATCTTCATAAGATATTCTATCTTTAGTCTGTATTATACGCATGTGCCATTTCGACATAGATGTTAATATATGGTTAGACTGATGATTTTGAATAAGAGACAGAGATAACCGTGAGATAGAGCTGAAATTAAAATATTTCTAAATAAATTCATAAAGACATAAAACGCATAAAGTGATACGGTGATGTAAAATCTTTAACTCTTCTAAAGTCATTATTATCATTATTATATTTATTATTATTAATCGACGGCACGGTAATGTGAAACGACGGCACGGTGATAAGAAATGGCGACACGGTTATGTGTAACAGTGTCACTGTGACGCGAAAGGAGTGGTGAGAAAGATAGCACTGTGATATGAACAAATGGGACGACATATCATAACGGAGAACATGGATTTACAGAAAAATGAAAGGACATGTAAAACAACATGACACCATTGACGATCAAATGAGACAATAACATGACAAAATGAAACCAAAGAAACAATGAATAAAATTATTATTATTAATTATTATGAATAAAAATGAGAAAATGCGACCTCAACACGATAGCTGATATATTGTCCCAGTATAATTTAGAGATAGGCTCTTATCGTAAGGTCAAGACAATTAATTCAATCTGATCAGACATACGGTGCTAAGAGTTATTTGACAATAGATCAATCTAATTTAAACTTATCTAATATACAATATCCCTAGACGATGTCGTAGTCAGTTTTTACACTTAGGGTTTCAAAATTAAAACAAGGCTATACGTTAAAAGGAAAATGAGATTCGAACATTATATCTGTAGTGAATTGAAGGGTTAAACAATTGTTTAAATGGAGGGAGTTTTTAGTCAATCATGCAATTTTATATAATACCTGTGTGTTCTGTTGAGAACATGGACACCTAGAACCAGTTTATCATCAACAACTTGATACCACAAATCTGCTACTTCCACACACCCCCCATCACTTTCTTTAACAACTTTACTTCTTAATTTCTAAATAATAAAACAGTTATACGCAAGCTACTTTAACTATAAAATAAAATAGTATAACAATTGGTTTTGTAAGCTATATGAACTGCCCAGACAGATGTTGGCCTATAATACAGGATATATTAAAACAGATTTAGACTTTTATTTATTCAGAGCCCCACCCCTACCCCTGCCTCACTCTTTACAATATACGTACAAGTACATATATACATTCGTGATTGGACACCTCTAACCAGCTATTTTAAGTTTATCTACGGTTGATACATATACATGTATCTAATTTCTTTCAAGCCAAACATTTAGGCAATAAAAAAACTATGCAACCCTGTTCGATTCTTTAGAGGTTTGCCCGCACGTAGACATCGCCACTCACGAATTACCAAGTTAGCGCCAGAACCGTGTGACATTCAAAATTGCGCACCCGGCTTGACAGGTGATAACCCTTCTCGGGCCAACACTTCAAAGAGACATTAAAATCCTGAAGCTTTATCTACTAATTTGTTTTTATTTCTGTTGGTATTGTTATTTACTCATGGGAAGAAAACATGATTCATATCCAACTTGTCAGGTTGTCATATTATTTGTCTGGGAAGTCTGAGACATGAACTAATTCACATTAAAATTCTACGGGGAAATTGGTACTAAGATGGAACGTGTGTGTTGGAGTACACATATCAGCTTACCTGCTGCTCCGTCATCTTCTCTAGTTTAATGGTATTTTTTGCTAGAAACTCATATTTTTCTTCTAATTTATTCTTGGCACTTTCTACAGATAGGACCATTCTCTAGAAAGAGATTAAAAGTTACAGTAATTTATGTTATTACGCAGAGTAAAAAACATGCTTGCTGATCAAGGAAAATATTGAACTTGGGGAAAAAAATGTTGTATTCTTATTAAATGAGTTGTCCCCAATTTCACAGGTAACGTATTTAAATCTGATTAAAATACAGCTCTATATTTCGTTTCGTTTTTTATACTTTCGATGGCCTACTCTACATGATTCTAGTGTTGTGAAGACAAGTAAAACGAAATTTTGAACTATAAAAACGAAACGAAATAGGATATGTGTTTTAGTCAGCTTGAATTCAAGTGACGATATCGACTCTTTACCTTGTCTGAAAATTTCAAATCAAAATATTGAGTCGTTCGGCAATGATCCCTTGATTAGCTGAACAGGGCATCGTAACTTAACTTGATAATAGCTACATGGCATGATTATCCTGGCGCTAAAACAGTGTGAAATTTGGGGTCTAATGGCGATCCCCACATGGTAACTGGAAGTCTGTATTTCTTCTAAAAAATATCATAGTATCATATATGCACAGGACTATGATGATTAAGGTTTGCAAGAGTCTGTTACATCCAGTTAACCGGGTTTATTTACATTATTTTATTAAAAAGATTAAAACTTCTAATCAGTATTCCCCAAATGTTGCTCAAATTCTAAACAAAAACTGATATTCAAATGTTGTCAGGCTACGAAACAGGTTAGTCATCAGATCAGCACATAAAGGTTGTTGTTGTCTTGTGATTCTTTGGGCAAATAAAAAGAAAAATCTGTATTCTGTAAAATATCTTGCGATATAATCAAAGACAATAACTCTTGAAGTAAGTAACTAACACAAACATTCACAATATTTTAAACAGTAGAGGAATTTAAAAATTTGACAGATTTCTATTTCTCATTAGTCTATACAGTGAAAGCAGGTCTGTTGGTAACCTTTGGTAAACTATAGATCAGTTTTAAATGATGGCGAATAAAAAGTTAATTTGTACTTAGAAAAGGTCACCTCCATCTAAAACATGACTGATTTCAATTCTACACACAAATGGCATTTTAAACTGATTTGAATATACTTTAAAAGTGGTTCAAATGTCTGGGGACATTTCATGATTACGAATTCAAGGAATAGTCAATTTAAAAGCAGACATGATTTACCGCATCGCATAAGGTATAAATCTTTTATTACAAAACATGAGACCCAAAAGGTTTTAATCTTCCATCGGTCAAGAGTAAATGTACAGTATTAAAATCCTTTAATAACTGCAGTCTCCTGTAATAAATCAAATAACCAAATCATTGCAAAAGGTTTGTTCACCCCTTTTGCAATTAACTACAGGCTACGTGAAGACAAAACGAAATCTGAAATATAAAGATAGGTTGCCAAGCAACGAAAGATACGCCCAAGCAGCTAAGTCGTCCGTGGAGTCAACAAGGGTTGTTGCATATTTTTTTTCTTTTGTCAGAAATGGAAACATTTACAACACACTAAAATCTGATAAGGAGTAATAACCCATCTGGCTTCTAGTTCTGTCCTATTCTAACCTTTAGCATACAAAACATTTAATATCAATTGCCATAGTCAACGGAAATCGTTAAAAATTTATAGGCTACTTCGTTTCATGGCCTTAAAGACTGTGTAGAAATTTAAAGTCAATCGGATATTAACTTTAGCCTCTAGAGCGTCCTCAAAATTTTTCAAAGTGATCAAGGACCACAACTCTGGCGGTAATTATCGGAAATCGTTGAAAATCAATAGGCTTCTTCGTTTCATGACCTTAAACACTGTGTATATACCTAACCATTATGTTTACCACGACGTCTGTATACGGTTCGATAATTGGTCATCTTTTTGTGGTACGTTTTGGAATGATCATTTTCAGATGATAATTATGTGTGTTCATTGATAACTATATGCACTTTGACCATTTTATTGCAGCTTCGGGACCAAGAATATTTCAAGACTCGATTAATTTTGAAAGACCGTCATCACTAACAGTGTTTTATTTAAACACTAACTCGGCCCTATAATAATAACAGTCTGGATCGCTAAAGGTTTGGAATACCCTAGTATATTTGTATTGTTCTGGGGCCGGTTGTTTAAAGCTCCTTTAACTTTTAACGAATCGTTAACATGGAGTTAATGGATCTTTATCTTTAACGGCGCGAGATTCTGTTGCTGGAAGCCCCGTTTAACTTTAACATGTCGTTAACGTGCTGTTATATTTCACGGATGTGTTGGGCTCCTTTATCTGTTTAACGATGGAAATAGTCGGATCGTTAAAATAACTCAGTTTTGAGCAACCGGCCCCAGTTCATCAATTGTTTGGAGTGGTACATAAATTGTAGAAGAGTAGGATAGTGAACGGTAAAATTAATGTAGTAAGCACGATTTTTAAAAAATTATAATATGATTTTGTAAGAGAGGTAGGAACATTCCGGTATGTTAATGACTATCAGTGTCTAGCGAAAGACATTACAATTATGTTATAGTTTATCTTACTTTACTTCCAGTGAAATTTGTCATAGAATAATATAATATACAGGTATTGGTAAATTGCTTTCAAACCTCCAGTTGTTTCTGTAGCCCTGTTCTGGCAGCATGACATGTATCTTCAACAACTGGATTATCTTCTTCAGTAGTATCTTCTCTATTATCAATAAATACTCTATCAAAATCTGTTAATATCCACTGTGATATATCTTCTTCTTCAACAACAGGTTCAAATATCAACAATAACTGATCAGCTCCTTTACATAATATATCACAAATAAATATCTTCTCAATACCATTCCACCATTGATGTACCTGAAATTATTATCAATACCTGTAACTTGTGGGCTTTGCTTTTGTGTATAAATTGCAAATCAATCCGGTGATAATTAGGTTTCTCATAAACATAAATACTGTGCATAAATATAAGTCAATCGGATGATAACCTTGGTCTCTATGAGGTCAAAAAAAAATGTTTGATTAATATTTAATTCTTAATCCAATTTCTTAATTTCAATGAGATGTTGAAATGACAGGTAAGTTTAAAGAGTTTGGCAGAAGACAAAATGACATTAAAGGGCAATATTGGTGTCAGTCATTATCACATATGTGATAGAACTGGTTAAACACGTTCCAAATGTAATTTGAACAAAGAGATCATTGCTACGATAGATGGGTTTTGAAGATTTCAAAAAACGGAAGTGACGAACGCAAAAGGAAAACAAGAGTTATCTTTCTATATAACTGACGGAAATGACGAGTGACAACAGATACACGGGCGAATTTATGCGCACTAATAATTCCTTCGAAGACCAAAAGTTGTTACGTGAGGCTGTGAGAGGATATCTGATAATTCAAAAAAGTAATCAAATGTCATTTGATAAGGAAAAACGAGAAAAATAGAAATAGTCCGTACATTCCCTTGTTTTTATTCATTCTATACTTAATAAAAAACACGATAATGCACGGACTTTTTCTATTTTTCTCTTACCTAGTGACAGTCAATTATTTTTTTAAATTATCAAATATCCTCCTACAGTCTCATATAACAACGTTTGGTCTTCGAAGGAATTATTATTGAGCAGAAATTCGCCTGTGAATCTGTTATCACTTGCAACTTCATTCAGTTATAATATAGACGGATAACTCGTGTTTTCCTTTTGAGTTCGCCACTTCCGATTTTTTAAATCATCATAAGGCCTCTATCGTAGCAATGATCTATGTGTTAAAATTATATTTGGAACGTGTTTAACCAGTTCTATAACATGTGATATTATAAATGACTCACACCAATGGTCTGACCTGACTATTGATGTTAGCATCTACATAATGGTACATACTGATTTTACTGATATAGGTGTCACACCAATAAATCAATAAATGTGTGTAGCATGTGTAGGTCTAGGGTACATGTAGGCCCGGTACACTGTGTACATGTAGTTCAGTTATTTGTGTCCGGTCACTTGAAGTTTATGTAAGTACCATGCACATTGGTTCAAAATTCGAAAGGTCAGATAAATAGGTGTTGGATCAATTTGTGTGTAGATGTGTCTAGATGCTGCGTTTACCTGTTTTGAAGAAGTGTCAACAGCGATGCAGTCTGTACCATTCTTTAAAATGACAAGCTTATTTCTGTTACTACATGTAAGCTCAAAAACTCCTAAAATAGAGGGTGAATCATTGTCCTTCAACTTCAAGTTCAGGAACCCACACTGTTTAAATGCTGTCTCTAAACAAATGGAGCGCAACAACTGTTTAGATTTAAATTCGAGTAAATAACTATTTGATACAATTGCATATATACTGGATATGTAATGGGTTTGGGTTCCCATAGTAGTTCTGTGTTCTTCTAACACTTCTTCAAAGGAATGGACATAGATACTGGTTATATTTGAATATTCTACTGGTAACATTTCAGTACTTTTAATGGGGTGGAATTCAGAATTATGATGGTTATCGATAAGAAGTTTTCTTATAAACAGTTTATTAGATATCCCATGGCAACCATCCTCAACATTATCAAAAATGTCTTCTTCAGATTCAGACAGAGATGAAACGGAAACAATTCCAACAATGAAACGGTCACCTTTCCTATTTTGGTGTGTGGTTAAATGTAAAAACGTTCTTTTTTCGGAACTGTTTTCCAAATTTTCAATTGGAATTTCTATGTCATTTATGCCAAAGCAATCAAATAGTTTTTCTTGGCTGTGAAAAACTATTCTACCTGTGTTTAGGAAGATAGTGTTTGTTGCACCAATGTCATTTCTTGGGATGGATGGTTTCAAACATTTGATTGGACAGAGTTTCCACCTACAACCAGTCGAAGGGGCAATGTCATTATCTTGTATTAAAACAAATATATAATAGGTGTTGGAATTATCCACATGGCTGATAAATTTCACTAACAGGGTTGGAAAATTTACACCCGAGGAAAGGTCTTCTACTCCTTCGAACAGAACAACTGGACCAATTTTATAGCTATGTAATGCCTTTGAAGCAACATTTTCATCTTTTGTAGCATTATTTGGGTAATTGCTACACTCCCATCTAACTACAGAGTCACTTTCAAATTTGAACCGAGAAGTATCCCCATCAATGGGGTTTAGCACAATAATTTTCACAGTAACAGAAGGGCCACTCGCTTGAGAGTTTCCACAATGCGCTTCCATACAATATTTACCAAAAATTAGAACCCTTTTATCGGTTGTCATTGTTGAAAATATTGACAGCTAATTAGCACGCAGGATTCCAACATTTTGTATTTCATTCACTTTAACCCATTCTTTGATATTCCGTTAACCGTTTGTCTCTAGAAGTTCTCGAATTGACAGATATCATTCGATGTTTTTATTTCCACATTTACCGCGTTTGTTGATGTACTTCCGGTTTTAATAAATAGGTCATAGACTCCATTATCAAAAAGGGCATTTGAACGTTAAATTGTTTACGTCTGGAAAACCACGCCAAGGACATTATAGCGAAGCCCTGATCTGACTTGACAAATCCCTGTCTATTGATGGGGCTAAGTGTGAAAAACTGTACATATACTTTATCAAAATATGAAAAATGAATACTGTAACAATTTAGATTTATCATTATTTAATATATACCGTCTTTTAGCTTATTACTGAGTTTTCCTTTTTTCCTTTACGTGCTTCCATACTTATTACTGTTGTTTGACCCACGTGTCTGGCACCATCCGATGTTATTGTACTGTCATCTCAATACGTGACTGTCAATTAAATGGTTTGTTTTACATATTATAGCTTTTAGTCGACTATCATATAATAAAGCTTTTGTAGTATTAGTAAATGCAGCTTCGTAACATCTTATAAAGATTTGTATTATTCTTGCAGATCTATCTGGTGAATACCGGTATACATTAAAACAAACATGGGTCAGATTAAAAAATTCTTCAAGACACCAGGAATAAGTTGTAGCACCAGGGATATACTGACAAGTAAACTTAACAGTTCCAGTGACAGCAGAGTTATCAAAATATTACAAACTGAATTATGTTTTTATGTCCAGTTTGATGGGAAAGGTTAGTTCATAGAAATATATCAGATGTAGATTTAAAAAAAAAACCAAGCAAGGTCAGGACAAATCACTTTCCTAATTAAAGATCAGTCTCATATGAGATCTTTATTTATTGGGATGATGTTTTTTCAGAATCAATCAAAAAACATGGACAATTTAATACATTTATTGAATGTCTTGAATTGTTCCTGGACTAAGACTAGTATCAGCTTTCCCTGATTTCAATTTTTGGTGAATATTCATGAATTTGATGCAGAAGGATCAGGAAGTAATTTAATTAGTAAACAGACAGGAATTAGGGACATTATGTACAAAAATGATGTCAGAGCCTTTTGAAATGGGCCAACACCCTTTAATATTTTTATCAGATGATTGTGACATATTGGGCTCTTTGTGGTTATAATTATAAAGATTAAGATTAAGATAATAAAAAAAAAAAATGTTTTTTTCCAATAAATTGCAAGTCAATTGGGAAAGAATTACCAGTGTGATCACTCTTGGATTTTGTTTGGAGTTATTTCCCCTGACTCACTTTTTATAGACCAGTGTAAAATTTATCATATTTTGATGTATGTACATTTAGGATGAGGTTATCACACACACACACAAGATGATTTTACTATATTTGATTGCAAAACAAAGAATTGTTTTACATGTATTGTTCCACCTTCTTTTCTAGATTTAGTAGAAGAAGATGAATTGACATTATCATGGATATTATCCACACCATTTCAAGAAGACAATTTTACTGCAGAATCTCGGATTAAAGAAAATAAAAATGAAATAATGGTAGAGATAGGACCAAGGTGAGACAGACTTTATTTGACTGTAATCCACACTCGGCCCCACCAAGGGCATTAAACACGAAAGTATTGTAGTTAAAACACATCTCATATTTGCACTACTTTCCGTCGTCTGCTGGCACTTGCTATATATATCATACTAAATGTATCAATCATCCGGGACTACCTGGTCCTAATCACCACCTCCTCTTTAATCTGGATTAACCAGCCAGAATAATTCACCATATACAACAGTATTCATATAGACTTTGCCAAGGTAAGAAGCATCTGCTACTATTGACAACAATTGAACAATTAGTCTGCTGATCGCCCCGGCAGGATCATGTGGTGATAGGACAAAATATGTCTTTACATAATACATCAGCCTAGTTTTGAGATGATTTGCTAAGATAAGATTTTATTTTTGGTGACTTGAGTCTTTTTGCACAGCGTATCGCACAATATATTTTCAGTATTTACACGTCAAGTCTCATCCAAGGATTGCCGATTTTCTATAAATTTATCTTTTTGCGTGTACAATAGGCCTATTCATATTTTCGGGTACCGTAACCTTATCAAAATCTGAATCCCTGGTAGAATGATATAAATTTCGATTTCTTTTGTAAGAGATGCTTACAACCAGACTCATCATTCACTTTAGAACATTTTGGCACACCATATGAAACAAATGACGCACCATTTTCTCACTTGAGAATCGTCGCTATTGTTAGATATCTGACCAATCTTGATAATATAATTTGTAATAATAATATTCGATTAGGCATGCTTGTATATTTTACATGCCGTATGAAGCCACAGTAAACTGAATTCAACTATCAAAATATTTAATTCTCTTCAAAAAGAATTGTTGGCCATTTCCTGTGTACACCTGCACTTAAAAGATCCCTTGGTAGTTGGAATTCGATATAAGATTGTGCCGTTGACCTGGCAAAATTTCCCTCATAGCACACTGTATTGCATATACCCATCTTCATTAGCCGAGTTGGAGCAAAACAGTAGGACGTTAAACCCCATTCCATTTCACTTTTCATGTAGATTTAAGCTTTGTGTCTGTTTAAACCTGAAACTTTAATTTTAGAAAAATATATTTGGTGAATTATGAAACTATATTGTTCAGCATGTTAGCTTCCCGAGAGAAGTCATAAAGTCTTTAGGTAAATCACTATGTCTTTCTGTGAATAAAGCTTGAGATCCTGTGTGTGCAATTCATTGTATCTACTCTGTTTCATTCACCGCAAATCAAAAATGGTAAATGTCTTGACTGGGTGCGGTAATAAACATTTTCTGCTTAGGCTAAGCAGAGATAAGGAATTTGATTGGTTAAAATTGGGACACATCAAATCTGCTCCTAAATGTTTTTACTGAAGTCAATGATGAGCATTTTCTACTTTGGCTAAGTGATTGTCTACCACATCTGTTGGAAAACAATTTCTCTGCTTCTTATTGAAGTTGAGTGTTCAAACTGGGAGTACTTGTTTATTAGGTGAATGTCTTGACTGCTAGTATATAATATAGATTCATTATATCCATACCTTGACTAAGTTTGATAAAGAGCATATTCTGGTAGCTGACATCAGTCTTGCTGTTGACATGTTTTGTTGTTTTTGTTTTCCTAAATTAAATGTCGTGGTAAACAGGATGCCAGAAACTCTATACAAATTCATCTCATAATTATAAGATTGTTTCTTTTAGGTTGAATTTCTGCACACCTTTTTCTACCAACGCAGTTTCTATTTGTCATTCTGTTGGTCTAAAACACATTAACAGAATAGAATACTCTACAAGATATCTAATCTCTGTTCATGATGATAAACCAGCTTCCATTCAACAAATTACTCATATTGTGGATTTATTACATGACAGAATGACACAGTGTCATTACGCACGACCATTAGAGAGTTTTGAACTACAGGTTAAGTCCGATCCTGTATTTGAAGTAGATATGATGGAAAGAGGGAAAGTAGCGTTAGAAGAAGTCAACAAAGAGCTTGGTAAGTTATAGCGCGGTGGTGTAGATTTTATGACCAACTGAATCACTTATTGTATACTTATTTAGTAGTAAAATCATCCTACTGTGTAGGATATTGCATCATCTGAGATAGATAGATTTAATACTGCTTTTCAATTAATGAATCAGTTCCTCGGTATATCAACATGGTATGGAAACTTGCATGCTTGAATTCAGTTAAAACCTTATATTAACCCTTTATGACTCAGACCTCCCAAAACTTCCCTAACTGTGCTATTTTACCGTATTGACTATTATTTATTACAGGACTGGCCTTTGATGATTGGGATTTAGATTATTATACTGACCTTTTTCTTACGAAGGTGAAACGAAATCCAACCAGTGTTGAATGTTTTGACTTGGCTCAGTCCAACAGGTAGATTTTATATCCTTCAGTATTCCATTTGCAGCCTTTAGGGGGCATTATAGAAAAAATTGTTTGCGAATCGATCTTATATTACTATGTAAGAAAATAGGGAAAGCCGGTAAAAAAAACATGTGATTATGAATACAGAATAAAGCCCAAACATTCCTGTACATGTTATTAAAAAATTTTATTCGTTAAATTTATTGTATTTCAGTGAACATAGTAGACATTGGTTTTTTAAAGGACAATTAATAGTAGATGGTGTAAAACATGATGCCTCTTTATTTTCATTAATAATGGATACACAGAATCACAGTAATCCTAACAACATCATCAAATTTAATGACAACAGCAGGTATATACAAATTTTTTTTAAACATACAGGTTGCGTGGTACAATTACTTTTTTGAAACATAGAAATAAGTAACCAATAATAGTGGCTATTCTATTACTAAATGTCTTTAAAATGTTTTTATTTGTTTTGGGTATAAGATTACTGCTTACTGACATTTTGATTCTACTTGTTACCCCTTTGAACTAGAAGCTTCTGAAGGATAAATTTGTATACCCTTTACTCGCTTTTTTTTGCATTTGAATTGCTTCTTTTCTGGCCTAGTGTCAAAAATCTTTTTGTACTTTATTATATGAAATTACATCATAAAGTTGGAGAGAGGTACAATAATGAGTTAATATGCATTGAGAGAATTATATTTCAGTGGGATAGTTGGCCATACTGTTAAAGTTCTTGTACCAGAATCTCCAGTAGCTCCAAGTCGTATTCAAGTAAAAGAGAATGGTAGCCGCCATATTATATTTACTGCTGAAACACATAACTTTCCTACAGGTAATCACAACCTACTTATAAATATTACTTTCCATATTTCTATAATGTTCATTTTGTAAATTAGAAATCTTTTTATGAAACAGTACATACCATCTGAACCAGATTGAACACTTGGGGAGCAGCCACAAAAAAGAGTTACCTCCCTTGGTCAAATTTTATACCTTGAGACAATTGTATTACAGCTACTGGTGTCTGGGTAGAATAATAAATTATAACTGTATTATAGGTGTGGCACCATTTCCTGGTGCTACAACTGGTACTGGAGGTAGGATAAGGGATGTACATGCTACAGGTCGAGGCGCTCATGTTTTAGCTGCTACTGCTGGTTATATGTTTGGTAATCTCTCAATACCAGGTAGGCATGTTTGTTACATAGTTTTATACTTCTGGTTAAAATATTATTATTATGTGAAATGTATTAACATTTAGTGCAATAATCAGTGACATATATTAGAGATATTCAGTATAATCTGTAGAAGATACATGTTTATGTCAGAAAACAATCACAAATACGTAATACATAATATATAAGAAATAAGTAAAATAAACACAGGGCTTCCAGTTCAAAATTTGAACTGTCCATCAATTATGATAACTCACTTAAACTTAAATTCATTTCATATGTCATATTTTCATTTATGGTATGGTATCATGAATAAAAGCAATTTACTACATACAAAAAGTGGGGTCTAGATAAAAAATGAATGGGGATGAGAAAAATATTATAGTTTTACTTCATGTAAATTGAACAATTAGTTCAATATGACCGAGGCTTGTGATCTTTCCTTATCCAACTAACTTAGGGCCTGTGTAGTTTTGCATACTTGTTTCTAAGTGCAAAAGTAAAATTAATATTTCTTAGCTATATGAACTCCTCATATGAAAATTAGTATCATGTATTCTGAAAACAGTAAGCATACCCAGATTGGTAAATACAGTTTAAATTAAACTGAAATGTTCCCAGAAAATAAACATTTCCTGGCCCTATATTTTACAGAATATTAGATGTAATACACTACCTTGCACAGAACCGAATTTGTTGCTTTTATCACAGTAGTGGAATGTTTTTAGACTTTGATCTCCGAGAAATCATTTGATATTTTTTAATACTTTATTAGGGTACAGGCAACCATGGGAAGATGAATTAAAATACCCAAATAACTTTGCCTCACCACTAGAGATAGCTGTAGAAGCAAGTAATGGAGCGTCAGATTATGGAAATAAGTTTGGTGAACCAGTTTTAGCAGGTTTTTCTCGATCATTTGGTCAAGTTTTAGCAAGTGGAGAAAGAAGAGAATATATTAAACCTATAATGTTTAGTGCTGGATTAGGAATGTTAGATGGTGAACATATTGTAAAATCTAAACCAGAAATTGGTGAGTGGTCTATAAATGAACATAAAATAAGAAAATGACAAATCTTTGGTACTCCTATATCTTGAACATTCATTATTATCACGGGCAGTATGTTTGTTTGTTTCCAGAATGTGTCAGAATTGTTTAGCCTTTTACAAACAAGCCTTATCATGCTGTCAAACAGTAACACAATTATTGTTAGCAGCATGCAATTATTACACATGGCTGAGGGTGTGATATAATAATACAATTGTGACAGCATTATCTAATATTATAATGTTATGTAATGTAGACCCCTAATTCCCTTTTAATCATCAATCAAAAAAAAAGATAATATCAAATGAGTGCCGGAAAATATGAGAATGTCATGAATGTTAATTTAGGTTAATATTGTGTGTGATACCCTTTACAATAAAAGAGAGAGAGAGAAATGGGGTTTAACGTCCACTCGTCACAATTTAGGTCATTTCGGTACTAACACATGGTTGAATTTATTTCAATAATTCTCTTGCACGTAGGGGTCTTTAGCAGTGGGAGGAAACCGGAAGATTCGGAGAAAACCCACGTACAACCGGGGAATTGAAACCACAGACCTCATGATATGGCGTGCCTGCGCTAACCATTTGATCATCCAACCCCCCTCTTTGCAATAAACTAGTCATAATAAAACCCAATTAATCAGAATGTCATGATAAATAAAAATTGTTTTAAGGTATGGAGGTAGTAAAAATAGGCGGACCTGTATATCGTATTGGTGTAGGTGGCGGTGCTGCATCATCAGTCAAAGTTCAAGGTGATAATAAAGCAGAACTTGATTTTGGTGCTGTACAGAGGGGAGATGCTGAAATGGAACAGAAGTTAAATAGATTAATACGAGGTTGTATAGAAATGTCGTCTGCTAATCCTATACAGAGTATACATGACCAGGGTGCAGGTGGAAATGGTGAGACTTATTGATTTAATTCTTGAATCTCACTTGGATAGTTTTATGTATTTAATCTTCATTTCAGCTATTTTGTACCCCTTGCAAGCTAGAATATTGTTCAAATTGAATCTGCAAAAGTAATTGCAGCCCAGAAATTGTTCTGTTCAGTGTTTACATAGATATGATGAATTGAAAATCTTGCAACATAATGCATCTTCTTCGGACTATATGAACGGAATATGTTCAAAATAGTTGCCAAAACAGTCAGATTTCACATAGATCAAGAATGAACAGACTAAGGTCTAAATTTATGTAAACATAATTCATCAGATTCTTAATAATCTATTTTAATCTATCCCCATTTTAACCGTATTTTTGGACTGTTTTAGTTTATGATCTATTTTAATTGGCTTTATGCCAAATCTACCCCCATTTTAACCATATTTTTGGACTGTTTTAGTTTATAGCCATTTCCTCTAGAACTTGTATAAACAAACCAGTGCCAGCTATAATTTCAGCTAAAATCTTTTGATGGGCCTCTTTTAATCCGATTGAATCCAAAGCAAGAGATTATCTACTGCTGATATTTTAAGAATTTTTCTTAACTGGTACCTAATTATTATTTTAAACTATTTTATAGGAAATGTTTTAAAAGAAATAGTAGAACCTGTTGGGGCAGTAGTTAGAGTTGAAGACTTTCAATTAGGTGATCCAACACTCAGTATATTAGAAATATGGGGAGCTGAATATCAGGAGAGCGATGCCATTTTGGTAGAAAAGAAAGATGGCGATGTTTTACGTAAATTAAGTCACAGAGAAAGATGTCCAGCTAATTTTGTTGGTACAGTGGATGGCAGTGGAAGGGTAAATTAACATATTTCATGTGAATAATATTGCAGACGTTTTCAAAAAAGGACTAATATGGGACAGTGGGAAAAGTGGGTGGCCAAGTGGTGTAACACATGCACAGGAGATCATAAGGTTTGTTGTCTATGTAAGTTCAGGGCCCTTTATTTGGGTCGGACAGGGGGTAGCCTATCGCCGGGGGCAACACTTCTTGGGGGCGGCAAAGTATCTAAGTGCATAACAGTTCATATTTCAGCAAAAAGATAGGGTAGAATTATGATTTTTCCAAGATATTTTATAGGGTTTTTCGATCAAATGGAGAGTTGAAGGGGAAATAAACATAAAAATTTTACAAAGTTGATGTAATAAACAGTTATTTAGATAAAGTTTTAAAAGTAAAAAAAAAATGTATTTTAAAATTTCTTTAATCATAAAAAATCAGCTGAGCACAGGCACTGAACAAAGCAGTTACAGTATGCAAGGGGGTGGGGGGAGAGGCGTCACTGAAACTTTTGTGTCTGGGGCGCCACATAGGCTTGTGAGGGCCCTGTGTAAGTCATGGGTTTAAACCAGAGTTTGTATGGTGTTCAACCTGGTGGCTTTTCTCCGGATACTCATGTTTTTTCTCTTCTAAGGAACCCTATTGATTATTGAATTTTAATGTCAAGTGGACATTAAACCCCATTACTACTTGGATCTCTCATATATATTTTATGATTGAACAAATTTACCAGTGGCCTGCTCCAAAATGGCAAGGCTTCTTTATGATAGGCAACCAATTAACCACATATACAAGAAAGTTCAGCAAACAAAAACGAGAAATTGTAAAAAATCTTGGAAGTGAGGTCCCATACTCCCAAGTGAGAGTTTTGCCCCGGATGCACAAATCGTGTTCATAACACAATTGGTTGAGTAATTTGTGAGGAGGACCGAAAACATAATTTATTCAACTCTTTTCTATTTGTGTTTCAGATGAAGCTGGAGGGTTTTAAAGAACATAACAACAGTAATGGTTTACCAAGTGCACGACTACCATATGATTTAGATTTAGAATGTGTACTTGGTAAAATGCCTAGAAAAGAATTTATTTTAAACAATGTAAAGCCAGTATTAAAAGACATAGATATTCCAAATACTGTCTCAGTATTAGATGCTTTAAAAAGAGTATTAAGATTACCGTCTGTAGCCAGCAAACGGTATCTTACAAACAAGGTCAGCTTTAATTAATTCTTAATTCTTTTTTTTTATAAACAATTTTTTATTTCATTTGAAATTGTATTGGGGAACAGCTAGGCATATGTTGACTCCTTTCCATTCTTAGTTATTACTTTCTCATGTCAACTTAAATTTGTTATGGTAATATGAGCTATTTCTGTAAATTCTAAAGTTTGGGCATATATTTTCTAGATTTGTAAGGTTTTTGGTCTCAATTGCCTTTGCAGTTCTGGGTTTTGTACACAGCAGAATATTGCTAATTTTTCTAAAAGACAAGTTAATGCAAAACACACAATTTAGTTATTATTGTTTTACTGACATTCAGGTTCTATGCTCCATTTCTGTGCCTCTTTCTACCCTAATTTCTGTGTGACATACTCAATTCCAATCTTTCTTTTCTGGAGTTACTTCCCTTTGCAGCAGAAAAAAACAAAAAACATTTTTGTTCTAAAAATTAAAAACCGGTTACACAAGCTTTATCTGAGAACCAAAATATAACTTTTATAAATGGAACCTATATGCACATTCCTTAATATGTATACATAGATTTCTAGCCTTTTCTACATTTTACAAAGTTACTTCCCTTTGCAGCAGGAACTCAAGTGTTATTTAATGGTCGAGTGCGAGACATTAAGTAATATATTGATATTGTACGAGTGCTATAGCTATATATTACGCAATGTCCTGCACAAGACTATTAAACAACTTAAAATACAGACACTATCCAACACGTGCATTGCAATGAAATATGTCACGCGGGTCCAATATTTCAACTAGTATGAATAATGTACGCTTGGCACATTTCTCGTACCATTATTTGAAATAATGGTACGCCAGCATCAAAGGATGACATCACATCTGTATTTTAAATACATAGATTCTGCACATGTATCTATATTTTAATTTTAGGTTGATAGATCAGTAACTGGTTTAGTAGCACAACAACAATGTGTTGGACCATTACATACACCATTAGCAGACGTAGCTGTTACAGCTTCTTCTTATTTTGATAAAGTAAGTTTTTATCATTCGATATACAAGTAAATAACAATATCTTATGTTGCAACCATTAGTGACTTGTATTGTATAAAATATGTTCTATTTTGTCATGAAATTAGATCTAAAAAGGTCGTAATTGATTGCGCCATGTAGAACAAATCAAACAATTTTGAGTCGACGTCTCCTTCTCCTGACCATTTAAAACTAATTGGAAAAAAATGACATTTTCTACTCTCATATACTGAAGGAACATAAAACCCCAGATTACAGATTTTCATTAAAAATATTGTTTATGTGGATAAGACGGAGATCTTTGGTTCATTGATGAGCTAGTATGAAACATGATTGGACAAATTAATACCGGTATTTTTGTTCAACATTCTTCATTTGTGTGTTAGTGTAGAAAAGTATGATATTAAACTGTATTTTAATTCCTTCCGTTCAATTCAAGTTCCTATGAACATCTTTTATTGCATCCCTTTGGCTATATCAATAAGAGCAATGCCTTTGTTTGAAAAGTTCTCCTTCTTTTTGTATTAAAAGTGACTGCCTTGTTATATTTTACATATATAGTATTGTTTCACATTTATTTGAAGGTAGGAGCAGCTACAGCTATTGGTGAACAACCAATCAAGGGACTGGTTAATCAAGCTGCTGGTGCTAGAATGTCTGTAGCAGAAGCCATTACAAATCTAATGTTTGCTAGAGTTACAGATTTAAAGGTAATACAACAAAATCTCCCAATTTATCATAGCAAGGTCCGGTTCAAAAAGTGACTTGATTGTTCTACCTTGTATGGGCTATGAAACTGTGTTGTTGGAAATAATGTCTGTAAAATATAGATAGAATAAAACCAGTTATTCACTTAACCAATGTGTACTTAAAATTCCTAAGAAAATGGTTTGAATGGATCTCCAGCCATCTAGGATCTCACTTATAAATAGCTTATAGAGGTCTTTGGAATCAGAAATGCTTCTGCTGTTCATGCTGTGTTATTTTCTTCTTCACGATTAAAATTAACGATAAAATATATTCTGAGATGTCTTCATTAAAGGATGTAAAATGTAGTGGCAATTGGATGTGGGCAGCGAAACTAGCAGGTGAAGGTGCAGCGTTATATACAGCTTGTCAAGCTATGTGTGATGTCATGAAGAATCTGGGTATAGCTGTTGATGGAGGGAAAGATTCATTAAGTATGGCTGCCAGAGTTGATGATGAAACTGTGAAAGCTCCAGGTTTGTGATGGTTTATTTGTCAGAATCTGGTTTTAGTCATTATCAGATAGACTGTGGCCTCATTATTATTTTCCATATTAAGCTAGTAAAGTGTTCGCAAGACTTTAAACATGATTTATTTCATTTTATTTGTATTCAAATAAACCTTTTTTCAATTTTAATCACAGATATTCTATTGAGTTGCTTATGATTCATAATTTTTTTCTTTCTGTATTCTGATATATGTTGAACTGTATAATATTTCAGGTACATTAGTAATCTCAGTATATGCACCATGTCCGGATATAACAGCTACAGTAACACCTGATCTTAAACTACCTAATAATACAGGTCAGTGGTATGCTTACTTCTTTTACAACACAGCTCTCATTTATATATGGGGGTCATATTGCTAATTGTTACTTCTGGTGGAATTGTTTCCTAGAAAAACTTCTAAGGAGTGCGAAAGGGAGAAAATGAATAACATCTGAAATATCAGTTTTTGCTTAAAAACACATCTATTAAATTAGAAGATATCTTCCCTTTCTTCAAAGAGCTACTAATTGTCAACAACTATGTTAAGAATAAACGTCAGGGTTATACAATTCTGTGCTCATTGCTGGCTATGTAGGGTAGTCACATTAATGTCAACACTTGGCTATTGTAAGAATGCCATATTACATTTTTCTTGAACACTTGATATCACTTCTTAATTTGTCATTTGATGAATTCATATAATCAACACTTTTCTAATTAATGTGAGTGTATTTTGTTGTTACCTCCACTCATCCACAGGTCAGAGTTTTTAACAGATTTTTAAACTGCCATATGTTGGTAATTATTTTAGAGCAAGCTGCTCTTGAGTATATTAAGGAAAGTGACAAGCTTCTGTGAAGTGTGTTTATATTTCAGGTTGTTTATTATATATAAAGTTAAGTAAAGATAAATATAGACTAGGTGGTACAGCATTAGCACAATGTTATAAACAAATAGGTAATATAACACCTGATCTAGATATACCACAAGAACTAGTTGTTATGTTTAATATAACACAATCACTTCTTAAAGGTAAGTCTTTATTTTACTTTTATTCTTTTGTTCTCAAATATTGAGCTGCCTGGTGGGGGCTAAGACACCTATTCACTACCAGATTGTTGTACAGTCAAATTCTGGCCAATAATAATCTTTAGGATTTTTAAACCCGAATTTCCATGTCTACTCTTCAAGAACCGCAAGAGCCAAGCTCAGTTTGAATCTGTTGATAAATGGCAGAAAACAGTGTTGTCCGGGTGAATTAAAAAATTACCATATACCGTCTCAGAAATATGAAAGCACTGGCTGCCATTCTTTCTTTTTCAGTATTATGCTGTATATTTTACATGAATAAAAGAAAAGTTTGTATGAAGTGGTAGTCCGTCTTAACCATTATTTATGTCCATTCCATGATCTATTAGACTGAAAGAGTATATTCTTTTCAGTTCTGTATTAGAATATCTACTTAATAATAGATAAAACCATGTATAATTATTTAAGTAAAATCTACTCAACAGTCCTCAGACAATTGGGTATTTTTGCAAATACATTGAAAAAGGCATGATAGACTAACATCTGTGACAGTCCAGTTTGTGATTATGGTGTAGACTATATGTTGTTCATAAAAAATATTTTTTATTATAAACATTGTATAATTTATTATCACTTACAGATAGATTGTTAACTGCTGGACATGATGTTAGTGATGGTGGTCTGGTAACATGTTTATTAGAGATGGCATTTGCTGGCAACTGTGGTTTAAATGTTAACCTCACAGTGCCAAATAAAAATGGTATGTAAATGTATATTTTATTAAATTTTATTGTACCCTACACAGGCAGTTTCAGAGTCATAAGGGAGAGACACACTTCTGTTCTTGACTACCAATATGTTGACGAATAGACAGCATTCAGTAGTAACACTTATCACAAAAGTGTGCATGGAAATGGATTCAGTTATCAAACACAATCATGTTATGATAATTGGGTGGAAGTTGGAATTTTGAATTTTGGCCAATTTGACCCATTTGGGCATGGATTTCGGACTGGGACTTTTCTTTGGTGATAATATAGACTGATCATAAATCGTGGTCAGCATTTCTATTGCAGCAATTGCCTGCACTTACGTTATCCATCTATCTACAACCTCAAACGTAATGGCTAACAAACCATCAAAAAGGAAACATTTTCGTCATGACATCATAACGACCCCTTATGACGCCATGACATCACATGGAAACACTCACAGAGTGATGAATTACTAAGATATTGGTTTTATAATAGCATTGTTTTACACCTAAGCCTTTTACAACAACAGCATTGATAGAATATAAGCAGAAAAAAAAGGGATTTGGGTCAAATGGCGGCCATTTTGTTTAACGTCATATTTAGACCCTTTGCGGTAGCTCAATTTCAGACAACTTTTGATATGTTGTTGTGTAGACTATATACTACAGGAAATAACCACCAAACGTTTTCTTGCATTTTTTTTTAGGTTGGCCCATTTTTTTTCATTAATTTGACCCTACTATTTGTCACATTTGGTGGCCTATGTGTCAGTGACAATTAAAAGTGAGCTAAAACAATTTCACACAACAGATACAAAACTTGTGGTTCCCAAATTTTACAGGGTTGGAAATCACTGACTTAGACAACTGGTTTTGAAAACTGTTTTAAAAGCTTTTAAACCTATAAGTTTGCTCGTCTGAAAAGAAACTCTCTGTTTTCTTTCTAGAGAGTAATCTAGCTGTATTATTTGCTGAAGAAGTGGGAATAGTATTAGAAGTTAAACATGAAGATAGTCAAGAGATAATGAATAGATTTTCAGCTAGTAATATTGTGTGTACAAATATAGGTTCTTCTATACCAAATAAACAGGTGGGAAGATTTTACTACATTTTTCTGTAGAATTCAGACGAGCACATCATGTCTTCAAATAAAAACTGGTTGGGTTTTAAATAAAATTATATAAAATAATGCAGTTGTCAGTTTTGTGGGGTACTATTATTGAGAGAAGTAATTGACGCACTCTGATTGGTAGTATAAATTATGCTGAATTGGAACAGAACATTAGTTACCGAGCATAGGGTAAATCCTGTTTTTTTCCTGACGAGTATTAGTGGCCTACCTAACTTTTTTGGTTTTCTGCAGGTAGTCTGGTTTTCTCCTACTTTTAAAAATGCCTTCAAGCTAGCGTTTACTTGTATAAAAGATGTTGGTCCTGAAATGACCTGGTTAGTGTCGTCGAGGGGACTTTAAACCCCAGATTGTGAAGTGTATTTTAACTGTTAAAACCCCAAAACAAGGTAAAATTACTGTGGGATGAAATAAATATCTGTTGTTAAAAAATAGAGATTATATTTATAAGCAATTTTTGTTCAAATCCTAAAACATTTTGTAAATGATTCCAATGTTAATTTTTTTTTCAAGGTAACAATATCCATTAATGGTGTCCAAGTTTTATCAGAAAAAATGGCGTATTTGAGAGATATGTGGGAGGAAACAAGTTTTCAATTAGAAAGATATCAATGTAATCCTAGTTGTGTAAAACAAGAACAAGATAATCTACAATATCGACATTCCCCAACTTATAAATTACCATTCCAACCTTGTCATATACAGACAGATGCAGGTAATAATCTACATCATATCATTTTAATCTATGATTGCAAGATGGTCTTAGACTGTTTTTTTACATTATTCAATATTTGCACAATCAAATCAATATATGCCAGGAAATAACACTGTAACCCAGGTATCGTTTAATCTTGTGTATCTAGCACTAATTTCTTTCACATTCGTTTAATATCAAATCTTTGTTTAAAAATTTGTAAAAACTGTTTAAAATCACCAAAAATCATCTAATTTGTACATGTGTCCAGTTTAAAGCTGACTGATTAATTTTGATAATGAGTGTCCAATTTACAAGTATTTAATTTCCTGATTACTGTTCAAAAATTAATCATTATACATCATTAATCAATTGGGTTGTTTATTTTTTAACAATGATTGAGAAATTAAACACTTGTAAATTGGACACTCATTATCAAAATTGAATGGTCATCTTTAAACTGGCCAGAAGTACAAATTAAACGATTTATGGTGATTTTAAACAGTTTTTACAAATTTTTAAACAAAGATTTGATATTTAACGAATGTGAAAGAAATTAGTGCTAGATACACAAGATTAAACGATACCTGGGCCCTTATTCACGAAAACTTAAACTAAGATACAATCAAAATTTTAAGAAATACTGCAATTCGATTGGCTGACCAGTAAAATCAATTTGCATATATCCAATTTGCATATTGGTCAGCCAATCGAATTGCAGTATTTCTTAAAATTTCGATTGTATCTTAGTTTAAGTTTTCGTGAATAAGGGCCCTGGATTACAGTGTAAATATACCTAAGATGTAAAATTTTACCTTTATTGGCTATCCTGCATATTTGATGACATTTTTGAAAATAGACCTCTAGACTCTGTTGGTGTGAATTCACTTTTTCACATATCGTAAGGTCAGAACTTCATTTGTCTGACCAGGGTCCCATTTCACAAACCATGCAGGGGACTATTTCAAACATTTTACTATTCGAATCTATTTAGATTATATACTCTTCAAAAAAGGTAGGGGATATTCAGAAACAATACAAAACTGCGGAAATGTACAGCTGTTTTTATTAGAGGTAACCAGTGTATGTTAATAACAGGCCAATTGCCTACACATGAACATAAACAGTTCATATGGGCGGCTTATCTGACGGCCCCATTTCACTCGCAAAGCGATACACTGTCAAAAGTGAAAATGGACGTTTCTGATTTTGTCTTAATAATGAGTAATTGCTCCACCAATACTCAGACATTCAGCAATTCGTCGTGGCATGATCCTAATCAACCGTCCAGTCACGATTTTGGGCAATCTGACCCACTCCTCTTGCAATGTTGATGTCGACGAACACGTCTCCCGATCAAATTAAACGTAACACACTAAAGCAAAGATATGCTAAACAGGAAATCTTATGCAAGAACAGATAGAAAAGTAAACATGGATAGGATAAACCAGCAAACGGCAGTTTTCATCAACAATTCCTTGAAGTGTCAAATTTGACAATGAACCCCTCCATGACTATTTATCATATCACAACCTGCATAGGTATTTGCATTTCAATATCCCCTACTTCTTTTTGAAGAGTATATGTACATAACTTTGTGATATGAACCTCATTACCAAATGTCACATAGGGCTACTAAGTTTCTTTTATTATGGTTCGAATTGTTTAAAACAGTACCAGAAATTGTAGGCATGAACAGCAATGTTTTGAGATTGAACAAGATTTGATGTTCTGTTTGGTCAGTATTACAAGACAAGTTTCAACAGGCGAGCATAAGACATCATCTTTTTTACATATGTTACACAGGCGTTCACCATTTTCTCACCTTTTTTTCCTTTCAGCATTGAAACCAAAAGTCGCTATACTACGAGAAGAAGGGAGTAATGGAGATAGAGAAATGGCTGCAGCATTTCATATAGCTGGATTTGATGTATGGGATATCAACATGCAGGATCTCTGTGATCAAAAAATATCTCTAGATCAATTTAGAGGAATTGCTTTTGTTGGCGGATTCAGTTACGCTGATGTATGTGGATCTGCTAAAGGTAAAAAGAAATGTTTTTTAAGTAGTATTTATTGTTTTTAAATTAACAGTTTAATATGGGTTACATTGGTTACAATTAGCTGGTAAACCAGTTTATCCTGATGTAATATGCTACAATAAGCACACTTGATTTGAATTGTTGACACTTTAAAACACCATATCTCTTCTTCTGATTGAGGTAGAATGTTTAAACTTTCATCAGGTGAATATCTTGATGATGATCATTTTCTATAATAGGCTAAGCAGAGATGAGCAATTTGATTTGTCAATGCTTTGGATTTATTTCTTACTTTCATAATACCTTGACTGAGTGCAATAATTTTCTGCTTGGGATAAACAGTTGATTGCTTTGATGCCTTATAAAAAGATTAATACAAGTACCGTAATTATTGAGTGTCACTTGGTTTACTATTTTTATTTTCCAGGATGGGCAGCAACTGCTAAATTTAATGCCAGTATTCAAGAAGAATTTTCACGTTTTTACTCCAGAAAAGATACATTCAGTCTGGGTGTATGTAATGGGTGTCAGTTGATGGCTTTACTTGGATGGGTTGGTAGTTTAGGTGGGTATTTAACTTTCTTAAGATAACAAATTATGTGTTTGCTCATGGTAGAGAAAACATGTCATGTTTTGTTAATGAATTAATGTTCAAGTGTCAGGGTTGATTAATCAATTAAATGCATAATGAAAAAATTGTCCACAAAGCTGAGGGGATAGATAAACCATATGGTTGATTTTCATTTTTGTTAGGGAGCAAAAAAAAAAGGCTAAAACATTTGAATTATAGTACAATAGTTGTTTTAATTATTTCCACATGAACCCTTGAAATGCCCCCAAAAGTACCTCTAATTCACCTCTAAGTATTGGTCAGTTTCACATGAATGAAAATGGGCTACCCGATCAGCATTTATTATCCTAAATTACAGAACTATCTAAATTGAATGCAGCTGTAATTTACGGGAATCAGTAGGCTGGTTATTCAATTTTATTACTAACATTTGGTAAAACAACACAATTTATATTGAAAATAACCACTGGTTTGTACACGTATAGCATAATGTTTCGACAAGTGTTCTCTTACTGCTAAATGCCACTGAAGGATTATATTCGTTAATATTTGATATTATAGAAAAGGAGGCAACAAAGCAGGGTTTATTATTAGATCATAATACATCTGAACGTTATGAATCAAGATTTGTTACTGTAAAGATAAAAGACAGTCCAGCTATAATGTTAGATGGAATGAACGATACCATGTTTGGTATGTGGGTGTCACATGGTGAAGGTGAGATATATGGGTCAAACATTTTAAAAACTCTTCTGTACATATTAAATAAGTTACATTAAATAGTATTGGAGATAGAATTGGGTAGAATATGCAGACATATTTCAATGAGTGCAAAATCATTGATTTAAGCTTGTTTTATAATCTATACAAATGGAACAAAAATTTGAATGCGGATTTTGCTAGGCCTTCTAGTAATAAACTGCACAACAGTCCAAAATGTATGATGTTTCCTGGTAAATTATGACATTGGTTCCATAGGTTCCTGCTGACCTGTAACTTCAGGCAGTTTCTTAAACTAAATTACTTATTATAGGTTATTATCTTCTTTTTTTTCAGGTAAAATGTGTTTTAAAACTCCAGCTCTTCATAAAGATATTTTAGAGAAAAACCTGGCACCAGCTAGATATGTTAATGATGATGGAGATATAACACAGGATTATCCCTTTAATCCAAATGGTTCACCAGAAGGTATTGCTGCTGTTTGCTCAGAAAATGGCCGCCACTTGGCCATTATGCCACATCCAGAAAGATGTATCCTGCCATGGCAGTGCCCTTGGATGCCTTATGAAATGAGATCAGAGTTAGAATTTACTCCTTGGATTAAGATGTTTCAAAATGCACATAAATGGTGCTTGAATGGTGAATGAACACTTGCATTAAGATATAATTGAGATTATTTTTTATTATAATGAATAAAAGACTTTCAGTATGATACTAGTGGGTTTTGAGCGTAAAGGTGAAGTTGATGAAAATGCACATCCTGGAAAGGTTTCTGTTGTAACAAGATTTTTTTTGTGAACATGTACATATAACCCCAGTTGTTTGTGCCATGAAACACCCTTTTCATTAGCCCAGTTTGGAGCAGAACAGTAGGACGTTAAACCCCATTTCATTTCATTTCATTTCCATGTAACAACCTGCATGACTGGCTATGCATCCAGTGACTCTCAAATGTGTGGCAGGCAAATTAGCCTAAAATAGAAATGATAGAAAGTCATTCAGATGCTCTACCTCAAAAGGCAACTGTCTTTAAAACTGAGTGCAAACTCCACAATTGTATAATTGACCCATTATACAGTCTTGGATCGTTTAACCCATGCATTTTTGTCTGGGGGTTAGCTTCATTGTCACAAAACAACATATGTTGAAAATGAAACTTAATAGGCCTATGTATGGACAAGATTTTTTTCCAAGGAAAGATCATCTAGATGAAAAACTTGTAATAAACATTTGAAATCCAGAAGGGACAGTATTGACCCTGACATTGCTAATATCATCACTCAGAGTAAAAGAGAGTGAGGAAGATGAGGTGTAACGTACAATTGACACCGACTAGGTCATTTTGAGACTAACTGTGGTACAATGTTATTTCTATAATTTGCTTTGGCTGGTGGACCAGATAAAACCGTATGGGTTGGGCAGACAATTCTACTTTTGTCACATACAAGCTTGACTCAATGCCAGACACTCGAACACCACCCCACAGAGTAAAAAAGAAACATTCCGTTATATTGGCACATTATATTTTTATTTTCAAATAAGTTAACAAAAAAAAAACAGAAAAAGAAACAAAACAGGATTATTTACACGATGATGTCATTATCTGATTCTTTAAAAAACAATTTATCAATTTCATGACAGAGTTCGTCTGCATCTATAGTATAACTACCCGAGGTAGTAGTAGTGTCATTTTCCCACAATGCATCATTACCCGATTCATCTTGAACTGGACATCGAGGAGAATTTGTAACACTTCTTAATGGAGCTTTCATTTCCATATAAATACACGTATTGTCATTGTCTTTTATTTGGGTGGGCCTACGATTAGGCACCACTGGATGATGAACAGGATTATAACTTTTATTATAGGCACTTTTATTTTTCCATTGTCTCCGATGCTCAGAATTATAAGCTGGTGGAGGTTTAACACTAGATTGTCTGTATAAACCGTTTTTATTTGGGACTAAAGGGGATATATTTTGATGATGAGCACTATATTGTGGAATATTAGCTGGTGGATGACTTCTGTTTGAAGAACTTCCCGAAGAAGGTAATCCTGTTTGTGTATAGAACAGATCTGTCAAAGAAAAAGATACAGCATTTACAATTAAAACTCAACCAAAGTACGCTAACATAATATATATTGATGGATGGAACCAGTGCCGGGTTTACCTATTGGCTTGGCACCTGAACATCTAATGGGACTCTGAGCAAGGTGTATAATATGTCCTAAGCCCTTTTGACAAGCACTGTTGTCTTAAACATACATCATCATCAGTTTTGCTTACAAGACACTTTGATCCTCAATTAGTCCTGATGGTGGGGTATTGGGGAGGGGGGTGTCTTATAAGTGGAATAGCCTATGGCCTCGCTTTATCTAAATCGAGCACTGGATGGAATCCTAGAGAAGTCAAATGACCACCGTTTCAAGTCAATTTTAGTTGATGACCAAATATATTTATCTGCCAATACAGACAGCTATCTTGGTGCGTCAACATCACCATCAATGTATATTTTATGGAGATGTGGTGTTATCAACTGCAATAGATAATTACCTGTATCATGCGATATTGTCTGACTTGATACATCAACATCACTACCACCTCTACCACTATCACTGGTACTAACTTCATCTGATATTACACTACTGCTATCTATCCTGCCTGCTTCCTGAAACTATATACATAATACATGAAATATATTAATAGATTGAAATTCAGGAAAGTATTTGATCTGGGACTTTGGAATGAAGGCGACTTCAACGCATAACTAAATGAATTGGTATACAAAATTATAACTGCTTGTAATATAGTTATTTGGGTTCATGCAAAGTTGACAAGCCGTGGATAAATAGGGACTTGAAAATATCATGGAAAAATTGTGATTTTATCCTAAAGAGTACCAAATAATAAATTGTTTTCCAAAGACCCAATTTATTATAACAGAAGTTATCAGTGCCGGTAATGTGTTTTTTAAAAATAAAAAAAAAATAATGTCTCACCTCTTTTGAAACAGAATCAAGTTTAGATTTTTCTGGTTTTGTTGCTGGGTTGTATTCACTGTCCGACTCAAAGCACATAATATTGTTCTCGTCGTCCAAACAAAAGCTGACTTCCTTTTTGGTGGAAGATGCAACCGACTCCGTTGGTGATAACTGAATGTTTGAGGACGAATTTGTAATACCGAGATCACTGTTATTATCGTCCGATTCGTTCTGCTTCATGATGGAGATAACTCGGTTTTCCTCACTCTTAGCGTTGTAGATTCTCTTCTGTTTGTCTCGTTGTCGAATGTAATAAATTATCACAAGGACAATCAGACCCAGAATGATTGTAATACATAAAAGCACTGCCACCGTAATGATATTCCGTGTACTTAAAACTGCTGAAGCATTATTAAAAGTGCTGTTACCATGATAAACCTCCACGAATAGATCGGAGAACGCATATCGCGTAGGGGAGCCCATGTCCCGAGCTGCTATGACGAGATGGTAGATTCCCAATTCATGCTCTTCAAATTTTTTGGTGGTGAAGATTTCTCCAGTGGTCACATGGACTTCAAAGTTGTCAGAAAAGTTACCCTTTTTCATAAAGTACTCAATTCTGCCGTTCTCGCCTTCGTCTAAATCATAGGCGAGGATGGCTGAAAATCCTGTTTTTGGAGCATAGGAGTTGGGAATGGACACTGTGTTGTTTTCATCATTTGGATATAGGATTACTGGACTCTGGTCATTCATGTCGTTCACGGTGACCACAACCTGAACGCTACTGCTAAGGGGTGGTTCGCCCATATCAGTAGCGACCACACTAATAACATAACGGTTGGTACTTTCACGGTCCAGCGTCTTTGTTGTTTGAACCATGCCTGCTGGGGTGATAGTAAAGGGAGTAGCGCCATTAGCAGGGTTTCCCATGGAGAAAACGAGAGCAGCATTCTCATTCTCATCTCGATCAAAAGCTTCAATCTGTCCAACATCATTACGAGTCAACATATTTTCAGAAACGTTAAAATAAAAGACTGAATGTTTGAACTCGGGTCGCTTATCATTTAAGTCCTCTAAAGTAATTTCCACATTGACAGTTGATGTTAGTCTTTTCTGTCCACTGTCTGAAGCTTCTATTTTGACGATCACCAATGGCGAAGCCTCTCTATCAAATTGCCTAATGGCAGATAATGTTCCGTTGGACAATATTTTAAAATCGTCTTTATTATCGCCGATCAACTTGTATGCAATCTCGGCATTGGACCCTGCGTCATAATCCACGGCGGATACAGTGGTGACATACTGTGGAATGAAATTATTTTCAGTAAAACTAGCGTAATATACAGACTGTAAAAACACAGGAGGGTTGTCGTTCTCGTCCAGGACTTTCACTTGGAAGCTAACAGAAGTTGTTAGCCGTGGAGAACCAGAATCGTAACAAACAACAATCACGCTGTGTTGAGATATTTTTTCTCTGTCTAAAGGTTTGGACAAAATACCTTTATATTCATTGACGTCCAACTGGCTAATGGTAATATAGTCGTGGGCTATGGAACAGTTAACAACTCCGTTAGCACCGGAGTCTGGGTCGTGGACGCCGATATGGGCAACGGCTCTTCCCACAGTCGATGATTCTGAAACTTCTGCAGATCCACTAGTGGAAAAAGTATTAACATGGATTTCTGGTGGATTGTTATGTGTATCTAAAACGTGGATATGGACTCGAACTTGTTCCGTTAACGAAGGGTTTCCATTATCTCTTGCTTCTGTCAATAACTCGAAGCTTTTTCCAGCAGAGGATTCCAAGGAAGAAGCTAGCCTCAGTTCTCCAGAATGTTTATATAAGGTGAATGGTTTCAACAGCGTTTCTGGTTGACGGGCTGTAAAGTGATATGTAATGTTCGCGTTTTCACCAAGGTCCTTATCACTTGCTTTTAAACGCACAATTAATCCACGGATTGGAAGCGTTTCTGATATATTTACAGAATACGAAGGATATTCAAAAACTGGTGGATTGTCATTTATGTCTTCGACATTTATAGTAACCACCAAGGAGCCAGTTTTAGGCGGGGTTCCATTATCTTTGGCAATTACATTAAGTTTGTATGTATTTTTATCTTCTCGGTCCAAAGTTTTTAACAGTTTTAGAGAAGCTTCTAGATTTCCACCTAAGACTTTATGGGTATCTAGTGAGAACATATCAGTATTGTCCAAAAGTTCATAATTGTGTACAGAATTATTAACAGCAGTATCCTTGTCCACAGCATTCGTAATCGGAAACGTTGTTCCAACTGTTACTCCTTCGGACACATCAAGCGAAAACTCACTTTGTGGGAATTCGGGCGAGTTGTCATTTATGTCCAGCAGCGTTACCGTCACAGAAATTTTACGGAAAAATGACCCCAACTGAGACTGGACAATTATTTCAAAATTTAAGTCACATTTATCCAGGAAACTGCAGATAGTTTCACGATCCAGTAATCGGGAGATAGATAAATCTCCTGTAGCTTCGTCGACGTTGAATAAAAGACTATGTGGATTTCCTTGCGTTAGTAGACTAAATCTAAGATTTGTCAAATTCGAAACAGTTATCCAAAGGTTTGAATCTCTGACGACGTTTCCAATCACAGTCTTTGATGCCATCTCCTCGTATATTTGGTAAGAAAGATCGGTAGATGATATTTCTGTAACCGCTACGACAATTACTGCCAGCAGATGCAACAAGTTAGCCATGTTGCCGCTAATGGTGGACCAACTCCAAGTACAATTCAAAAATCAACATCAAGACTAAGCTTCTCCTTCATCTAGCTTTACTTTGTTACATGTATCTGAAAAATATATAATAACCCAATATAAATATTGAAGCAAAACCTTTAAACAAATAGGAATGAAACAAAAATAAAAACCGTTTTTAAAAGAGTCGCCATGAGAGTTTTAGTGTTGCAGTATTTCCATAATTCTTTATCTTACGTTTTTGGATAAATCCGCTGGCTTTCAATTGATTAAGCACACAGAATATGAAGACCAATAATCCAGGTCTCGTCACCGCTTTTACTTGGAGTCCCGAGTATAAAATGGCGCCTGTTTACATTATGATAGGAGGAAGTGTTGAATATGGCAGACTGTGGTGTCAAATTATGACAAATTAAAATGTCTATATGATTGGTCATAAATTTTTACGGGTTTAATCGCTTGATGCGGTTTAGCATTAAAAGGCTTTGGTATGGATACCTTGCCCGAGGCAACTATGGGTAATTTGTGCACCATGTTGTATACTGACACGGAAGATACATTTGTGTTTTATGACACATGGGAACGTAATTGGTATCACAAATTATAAATTCAATGTTCGGACAAATAAAAAGAGGGCAATTTCTTCGACTGAAGCAAATAAAACAAAAATAAACCTCTATAGATAAATTCATAAAACATTTTATAATGTAAAAATATTCATATTTTGGTTGATATTTAATTTCATAAAAGTGCAAGGTGTTTTCAAAAGAGTCTGATTTTCTTCCATTTGAAATAGAAATTTCATTTTTATCGTTAGTATTTCTTCATCTTAAAATACTTTCTTACGGAAAAATCATTAAAGAATAGTATTTTATGTTACATCTTAAATTAAGAAAATTCTATTTATATAGATAACTGTAAATTAAAATGTTTGGCTGTTTCATTATCATGGAACTATTTGTGAAATAAACATTGCTTTAACCAACTTACTGTTTTTCACTGTAGTAAATGGGCCGATTTTATCCAAAAAAGAGTCAAATGTCTGGTGCGGGCTATATGTTATTCCAATGAATCCCGAGATGATTTTAACTAAGAACGGTGCAGCGTTATATATATCTATATCCAAAATCACCAAAGTATTACTCTCCCGATCACACGCCAATTGGTCAATGATTGTATGGAGCTTGTAATATAATATAACCTTATTCCTACAATCATCACTGACATATGTCACTAAGTTTATGTGACGTTTTTCACTCGGAACACCGTGGTTGAACGCTGATTCTACTACTTCTGGCGTGTACGGCGAGTTGACTTAAACTAACGAGTCAACTCCAAACTGATTGACATATCTAGTTCCTTTTCTTAGCCTATTTGTAAGATTGACAGATGCATGCTAACAACTGAATCGCCATGGCTGATTTGACACAATAACTCCTTTAAACACACAATGGTTGAAAAAACTTTCTGTTTCTGCTGTGGACAAACGACCTTTTCATACAACCAGGGAGATCATGTTTAATGGGGCGTAGCCAATCAGCCACTGTTAATCTTTACCCCGGGCAATATAGAACCTGCGTTCCCCCAATGGTTTATTTTGGTATCGTGTGCTAAGATGGCGTCATAGCGCATCTTTTTTTATAATCTGGGCTTATCACTTTCGTAAATAAATTTTTATCTCATCTGTTAAAATTTATACATCTTGATTTCAATTTAATTAACAATATCTTAGACATAAAGACTACTAAGCGGTGTGTTTGAATTTAAAATCGTCCATCTAATCTGGTTGATCTACCAATTAACACTTGCTCACTTTTTCATCGAATTCCCAGGGAAATAAAATCGTACATTAAAATTAAGACATTCTGTTTTACTAGTAATTTTCAACAAATTTATTCTAGAGAGATATTTTGTCTCTTTTTCATATAAAGAAATGTCCCCCTTTTCTAAACAATTTTTACGATGGCTTTTCAATTAACATAAGTTTTACTTTGAGAAATTTTACAGTCTATTATAAAACAACTTACAAAAATTGCCTGGTTTCTACTCAGTCGTTTTATTTTTTCATCTCCCAAATTTAGACGAAAGAGTTAAAATTGAAAGAAGAAATTGCAAAAATTGAAAAATAAATTGTAAAGATAATAACAAATTGTAAAAAATTAATAACATATTGTAAAAATTAATAGAAAATTGTAAAAATTAATAGAAAATTGTAAAGATTAATAGAAAATTGTAAAAATATAATAATAAATTGTACTGAATTAATAATAAATTGTAAATAAATACATCGTAAAAAATAATTTGTTAAACTAAATATATCATTTTTTAATAATTATTTTATTTAAAGAACAGATTTGTTTTTTTAAATTAAAAAATTTGCTCGATTTTGAGGAATTCGTAAATCATGCTTGACTTTTTATTATTCTTTAAATGGAATCGGGTTTAACGTCCCACTCTTCTGCTCTAACCGAGATAATGAAGACGGACATACGACATGCAGTGTGCTATGAGGATAATTTTGCCCTGACATCAATTGAAAATCAATTGTCAGGGGTTCTTTAACGTGCACACCAAGATGTACACAGAACTTTGGTTTTTAGTCCAAGCCGAACGACTAGATGCTGAGCCTTGCCAGGCATTCTGTCCTTGCACACCAATAACAAGGGGGAATCATGCCAGAAAACTTTCTCAGTTGACACCGGAATCGAACCCGCTTCCGTCATACTAGCTAGCCAGCGCCTTCAACACTGAGCCAACTTAAGGATAGGAATAAATTTACTATATTTTGTCGTTGCTCAGTTTTGGAGAATTCAGTTGATTTTTATTAATTATTTAAAACTTTTGAATTTTGAAAAGATTTTTTTTCTTTGACATTTTTAAGGAAATGATGCTTAAGTTTTATGAAAATTATTAAAATAATTTTCATAAAACTTAAGCATCATTTCCTTAACTTGAGAACAGTTTTTAAAAACGTAAGTATTTATTTATAACAATAAAAACTGAGTGTAAACATAGATACATTAAAAATATTTGGAAATGAAATGAAATGAAATAGCGTTTAACGTCCAACTGTTCAATATTTAAAATTGAATAGGCATAAGCATTGTAAAAAACACCACAAAAGTCATCTATTTTCGCTTCAAAAAATAGTAACACAATTTATGACGTAATTAAATTGACTTTTAATGTTAATTGGCAGAGGAAAGATCTACTTCCCAATAGAAATCCGAAATAATTAATCCTCACTGTAAGGCATATACCTGCAGTCAGTGTTGGTTTGTTTTCATTCATTGAAGCGTAATATAGTTTAAGTACGTGGATATGTAAGGTAATCGTATTAATCCCTCCCTACATCTTTATCAGTTATAACAATAGTTTTACATCCTTTCTTATGGTGAAGAGATCACACTTAAATATAAATTGTTTAACATAAAATAATCCCTCTCTATTCATGTAAATTTCAACATTGACATAGCTCAATCACCCGCATTACGTCACGGATGTTGATTTCCCACATTTAAAACAAAGAAGCTCATCTGAGTTTCGAAATTAGACGATCCCGCGCTAGCTATACAAAAGCTCGCCACGTACAAATTTGTATAATTTGTTTTTTGTGCCTATTAAAAAGGAAGGTTAAATTAATTGAGCTAGGGTTAGTTTTGTCAGTTGATCTCTGCTGGAGCCATGTCCCAGTCTGTGTTTAACTATATACTATACCAATATCAAGAATTGCCTCTAGATACGATATGGTACATTTACTTTATTCGTCATTTATTAAATAAATAAACGATAGTTATCGAACCACATTAAGGAAGATGCTCAAATTTGGCGAATATGCAGGGTTTTGGCAAACATGATTAGAAAATACAGCTTTTTACAATTAAGAATATACACAGTTAGAAGTTTAGAAAAAGCGCGCAAATAAGTTGTGCGTTTCAGGTTTCTTAACAAAAAATGAGAATACATCACCTGTTCTTATGTCATGGATACGTCTTGCATTACGGAGACTTTTGTCATGTGACTGTTTATTTTTTGTTATTTAACATTTTTAGCTTAAAAAATGTGCAAGGATGCGGAAAATAATGTCGATTGTACTGTTACAAATACTGAAATTTCAGTGATGGAATTTAGTTAAGGTCATTCATGGATCCATTCGAATAACATAATAGCCTGCGCCAGAAATCTGGCCTTTTTTTCAAATCGGTCGATTTACATTGAAACCATAGGCCTAAGTTGGTTTAAACAATGTTTATTCCATAAAAGAATATACCTCAACTATAAATATTTACAATTATTCAATGTATATGATAGCACGGCCAGATTATAAAATATGTTATTATAGTTATCTAAATAATTAAAATTTTCATAATTTAGAACTCAACATAAAACTACTATTCATAATTTTATGAAACCAAACATCAACAAAACATAGTAAAATATCATTTACGACTTTATCTATGTGACGGATGTGGTGCAGGAAACGGGGTATGCTTACCCGCCTCCGTCAGTCTGCCCCTTTAATATCTATTCAAACCATATAAAAATAATACCCCCTCTCCAAAATACACGCAGCCTATTGGATTTTCTGTATACGACGCTACATTTTATTCATGAAGTATTATTTTCAAAATTATAGAAAAACTTGATTGGATCTATCAAGTAATGTCAATATTATGATTTTAAATCCATGTGAAATTTTATCGATACACAGTATAGTTAGTGTTTTCTTTACGTGTATTTTTTTGTAAAGTTGATAGCTAGAGGGAGAAATAGTCATGAGAACGTCAAGTTGTTGTATGAACAATGATTACCTGACATCTATAGATGATGTATGAGTCGATGATATGTATGTAGTTTATCACGAACTATCAATGTATGGTACTAACAATATTAAATGGACAGTATGCCGAATTGTGAGTGTATAGAGTTCTAATAGACAGTATAAAATGAAATGAAATGGGATTTAACGTCCTACTGTTCTGCTCCGACTGCGGATAATGAAGACAGGCATACGCCATACAGTGTGCTATGAGGGAAATTTTGCCCGGACAGCGGCACTGCGGCCTACTCTTATATCAAATTCCAACTGTCAAGTGATCTTTTACGTGCACGCCAATGTGTACACGGGACCTCGGTTTTTCGTCCCATCCGAACGACTTGACAGCTGTCCTAGTCAAGCCCTCCGTCCTGCATCACTGACAAGGGGGAACCACGCCGGAAAGTCTGGATGAACTTTCTCGGCCAATGCAGGAATCGAACAGGCCAGCGTCTTACCCACCGTGACCCCCTAATAAACAGTATGCCGAACTGTAAGTGTATAGGGTTCTAATAGAAATGAAATGGGGGTTTAGCATTCTACTTTGCTGTACCAACCGGGTTATTGAAGATTTATATATACATGTATACGTCGCGCAGCGTGATGTGAGGGATATTTTGCCCGGGGAGCAATCTTCGTCGAATTTCAACTGTCAATTGTTAAGTTTATGCACGCAACGAGTAAACGGATTAACATCAGTTTTTTGTCTCATCCAAACGACTACATGCTGTTCTTTGCCAAACCCTCCACCAAAACCGGGATTGAATTCGGGACCTGCTGGAATGTAAGCCAGTGCCATTAACAGTGTTCTATAAAATAATGCAGAACACATGCTCACATCTATACACGCCAAGACAATAGTTTTGACAAATGCCATGAGATGCCCTAAAAAGTTCGCTACTTATAGTGCCATTTGTGTTTATTTCATCATCGCTTGTCATTGTATTAGTAAATCTTTATAAAATTTGATGATGTGTCTCTTTAATATGTTCACGTAGTTGTCAATATGTAGAGTAAAGGATGAGCATACCCTGAACTATTAACGGTCAATTTGTTCAAATGTATCGTATAATTAGTATGACCAGTCTTTGATGGACATTTATCAGAATAATTTCTATTCGCGCCACTTTTAATAGAAGTCCATATTACAGAATTTCGAAAGGACAATTTCGAAATATTTCCTTCAGATAGGCACTGATTCCACAATATTTGCTCGGGAATTTCTTTTTGTCATATTTAAATGAAAGTCATGAATGAAAAAAGTATCGTGTATTTGGCTTTATACAAGAATGTATTTGCACCTGTATAGTGTCCATTTGTGGACAAATTCTGAAATCGCAGCAATTGTTTTCCTCAAAGATCAGAGAAATATTCTGGGATTCGTGAGAGAAGTCTTAACAGTGATGATGACCCTTGGAAATATATTTCATAAATCGATAAAGTTATTTTACAACAGATTCTAAATATGTTTTTCAATCTGTCGCTAAACTGCTTTCTTCAGCTCAACCATATAGGAATTTCTTACATCTAATACAGAAAGCTAAATCTAATCATTTCCAATGTTTGTATCTTCCAAGGCAATGACCTCAATATTTCGTAAAATTTGGAAATATCAATATCAAATAGTTTTTAGGGGCGTCCTACGAAACGTTGTAGGTTATAGTGTTGGCAAGAATTTCCCAAAAAATGTTTTAACGTTAGGTTGGTGGCGAAAAGAACAAATGTCTTAAACCTTGTTTTTGATTTTTTGAATTACTTATTGGAAAGTTTCAGACCTGTCTTTGGAAATATCACATCAAATCTTTTTACAACTTGTACAACTTGTACAATTCTTTGTTACCGAAACCAATCCAATATTAATTTAAAACAAACTGTTAATTACCTTTAATAAGTTATTAATTGGTAATCTCCATCGCAAATTTCATATTCATAATCCCTTTCACAGAATTTGTTGGTCAGTATACTGCTGTCTTCAAACGGTCCAAATGATCCAAGTTGATGGTTTTACTTTACATTAATGGGGCATGCAGGTAGGTGGGTGAAACGATCATGACACATTATTATTGAGCTCTGGTGACGTTTGGATTTCTTCTATTCATTTGTCATAACTACGTCAAACTGTCAGTCCACATCTCAATATGTGATAAATTAAACATTTATATGTTAATATACTTATAATGTAGGTATATAGGTATTTATTTATTTGAATGTTGCTAAACCGTTTCCAATATGCCCTAGGTCATATTTTTTCGTGGAAAAGAAAAATGAAAACTGACCGGGATTTCTCTATTAAAAATCCATTTGATTCGTAGTTTGCTTAGATTTTTATTTTTAATTACTTTGGGGAGGGGGGGGGGGGGATAATGGTCTAGAATACGGGAAGAAGGGCGCCCTTTTATTAGTTTAAATAAAGAGAAACTAACCTTTAAAATATCTTACATAATACATTAAATGTTGATGTATTTTATACTCTAAAACAATACTAAATTCACGTATTTAACAATATATGTTTTTAAACTGAAGCACTGAAGCTTTTGTTCCTTTTATTGGTAATATACCATGAATGAACTCCCCAGTACTATAACAAAATAGGATTGTATTATTTATTGCAACAGGATACATTATGGGTGGTTTTCAAATTTTATTATTGCGAGGATTTATTAGTTTTACTGTAAAAATGACATAAAAATCAAAAATGAATAAAAGTTTAAAGTCATAAATTTTTAAGGCGACAACTTCAACCTCACTACATTCATTATGGCGTTCATATTGTTTGTTTTATCCTGTTCTTAATAGATTTTTATATAATAAAATACTAACGAGGTTTTTTGGAGGTAATCTTTATATATTTCGTATCATTTGAGAACCAAATCCTGGCAACAACAACGTGTAAGATACGCCCACAATTTTGCAAAAGATGGATAGAGGTCACAATTTTTGTCCGATTTCTCGTACAATCAAGTCCAAGGGCCATAATCCAGTAAGTTATGATCTGAAATGCGCGAATATCGAAAGGAACTGAGATCGTTGGGATATAAACATATATTTTATGTTTCATCAAAATCGGACAAAAATTGTGACCTCTAGAGGGTCCAAACCTTGGTATTACATGCTTTTACTCTATTTGCGTACAAAGAGTGTCCAATTTTTCGGTCAGTTTTATTTTCCCGAAATGGTGCAACGGTGATATATTTAAACAGGTTTTGAAATCGGATAAAAATTGTGACATGATCTGATATATTCGAATAACGAAAGAAACTGGGATCTTTTGGATATAAACATATATTTTAAGTTTCATCAAAATCGGATAAAAATTGTAACCTCTAGAGGGTCTACAACCTTGGTACCGTATTACATACTTTTACACTATTTGTGTTCAAAGAGCGACTATTTTGTCGGACAGTTCTGGTGCGATTTTTATGAAATTAGAACTTAACCATTATCAGGGTGCAACGATGATATATTTAAACGATTT